CACCGAATTTAAGAAACGTGGCGAATCCCATTTGTTTTTGGACCCTGACCCCGCCGATCTGCGTGAGGGGTGCCACCGAATTTAAGAAGTGTGGCGAATCCTATTTGTTTTTGGACCCCGACCCTGCCGATCTGCGTGAGGGGTGCCACCGAATTTCAGAACTGTGCCAAATCCTTTGTGTTTTTGCACCCTGACCCCGCCGATCTGCGTGAGGGGTGTCACTGAATGTCAGAAATGTGGCAAATCCCATTTTTTTTTGGACCATGACCCCGCCGATCTGCGTGAGGAGTGCCGCCGAATGTAAGACATGTTGCAACTCCTTTTTGTTTTTGGACCCTGACCCCGATCTGCGTGAGGGGTGCCGCCGAATTTCAGACCCCAGCAATTCAGACAACACGCTCAGGGCGTGGTAGAAATGCCCGTTTTGGGCCTCCCCCCCTCGCGCGGTCCATCAACAAGGAACAGTAAGCAGCAAGAAGTCAACAAGGAACAGTAAGCAGCAAGAAGCGGTACTGTAACAGTGGAAATTGGAAGCTGCACCTGGTACAGGAAACTGCGAAGCTTCGGCCTACAGCCTGGTGGCCCTACAAGGGGGCCGGCGGAGCAGCAAGAAGTCAACAAGGAACATTAAGCAGCAAGAAGCGGTACTGTAACAGTGGATACTGGAAGCTGCAACTGGTACAGGAAACTGCGAAGCTTCGGCCTGCAGCCTGGTGGCCCCACAAGGGGGCCGGCAGATTTTTTGACATTTTATTTGTTGTTAATCATTTTGAGATTATCTTTAGTTTTTCCTTCACAAGGCTGATGTAGGACATGCCCGACCTATCCCTTGCGCCGCCATCCAACTTCTGGATCAACTCCTCAAGGATCGCCTGCAACGCAGGAGGAAGCCCACGACGTCAATCATGAGCTGGCCCTTCAGTGGCTCTGTGACCAATGGGGCCTACGACGCATTCGCGAGCCACTCCTTCGCGCGCATCAGGACGCCCTTCGCCTGCTTCGCCGCCTCGCGCTTGGCAGGCATGGAGAGCAGGGCCAAGTCGGGTTGGGTGGCGTACCCTGCGAGCCGCCCCTCGCGCAGTCCTCCGCCTCCGCGCGCCGAAACAGCACGGCGTTCACGACGTGCGCTGGCATGCAGTCGAGGGGGAACTTGAGCTCCGCCATCTGCCTCAAAAAACACGCCTGATACCGCGCGGTCGGAGGGCGCGGAGTGGTTGAGCGGAGGCGAGTGCTGCTTGGTCAGGCCAACACTTGGCATGCCGCCCCCAGTTGATGACATATTCGACCGTGCCTGGCACGTCCATGGCTTTCGCAGGCTGTGACGTCAGCACCTTCCTAGATTTACAGTCGGGCTGCGGGCCCATGGCTGATGCGGCATCAATTATGCTCAGCAGTTCCTGGCACCACGTCTCGCCGGATCTGCGCCAAACATGCTTGCCGCCACCGCTACCGCTGCCACATCCACTACAGCAGCAACCGCTACCGCAGTTGACGCCGCCACCAGTGTCATCACCCCCGCCACTGTCGACTGCCGACCCCGACAACCGCTCCGCTAGGCTGCACACGGTATACATCTGTTTGCCGCTGCCAATGACGATCATTAGAGAGAGGCTGAGGCGGGGAGGATAGGATGAAGAAAAGGAGAGGAGTGCGACGACGAGGGGATGAGACGCTCATGGCGGGTTGCCTTCGGACGTCTGCTGCACCGTGTTGAGAGCATCGCCAACGGTTTTTTGCAGCCAGCGGCACCGCCGCGTGGACGACCCAGTCCACGGCAGCCAATTTCACGCCATTCACGATCGCGTCCCTGAGCCAACTACCCTTGTCTCGGTTGCGCGCGACGTCGATGTTCATGAAGTCGCCCTTCGTCAGACTCTCGTACTCGCTCTTAACGCCGTTGTGGGCGCAGGCAAACCCATGCAAACCCATGCAAAGCATGCTTTGCCCCCCACGCCCCCCATCGGATCTTGTTCTCTTTGTGCTTCGCGAAGCACGGCTGGGAGGGGCTGCTTTACCGTGTGTTTCGCGAACTGTATGGTGTACGGGTTGTCCTCGCCAGCAACCGCATTATGCTGAATGGTGGCCAAAGAGAGACTTGGTGTCTTGATGACTTGCGCGCGCCCGTGCGCGCGACGCCATTGGCCCTCCTCGCCTCCGCGGTTGTTTCTCACAACCTCAATTTCTTTGCAGTGGCACATTTGCTGGTAAGACTGCTCATGTTGCGCACATGGAGGATGCGGTCCTTGATTTCCACATTTCCTGATGGTTCGTTGCTCGCATCAGCAACTTGCTCTTTGCACAACCTTGCAAGTTTTCGTTTCGGTAATGCGCCGTCGTCTTGAACTCCTGTTACGGCTTGCGCTCCAGAACACATGACTCAAGCACGCTCCAGCTAGGCGAACGCACAACTCCAGATAGGAGATCGCCGCTACAAACTACGACAGACATCGCAGCCAAAACAGGCCACGGTGCGCGCGGCGGTGTTCGGATGACGTGCAAGACCTGATGGCACATGCGAGCTGCGGGTGCGAGTAAGACGACGGCTGCGGAATGCGATTTTCACATGACGATAGCGACGACCAGCGAGCAACGACGAGTGGCGAATTACGATCATGCTCTAATCAAGTACGTCTTTACATGTGTTCCAAGCGCTCACATACAATTGCATATTTATTTTTAGAGATGTTAGCACACACACACACACACACCTCTCTCTCTCTATATATATATATATATACACATCTATATATATATATATATATATATATATATATATATATATATATACACACATAACGGGGGACCGGGTCCGGGGGCCGTGGGCCGGCGCCACGACCACAAATGTGGGGCCCGTGCGCCATCTTCCCTATGTTTTTTACGGCGTTTGGGCGACCCTGGGCCAACAGGGTTCCAAGAGGCTGCAGGGAGGCCCCAGGAGGCCGCAGCGATGGCTCCAGGCGCCTTTCAAGAGGACTCCCATGACGCCAAGAAGGCACCCGAAGGCCCCGAAGACGCTCCAAGAGTCACCCCGAGAGAGCCCCAATAAGCAAACATCGTCAATTTCCTATCGGGAAACTGCTATTTTTGGCGTGTTCGCCTTTTGGGCTTCCACTGCGTCCAAGACGGCCCAGGAGGCTCCCAAGACTGCCCCACAGGCTCCCAAGATGGCTTCAAGACGACCCCAAGAGGGTCCCAAGACGGCCCGAGATGCCCCCAAGGCAGCCCAAGAGAGCCCCAGGACGAGGGTCCCAGAGGTGCACCACCATATTCAAATTCAGAGCTTTCGGCCCCAGAGGCTCCCAGGAGGCCCCAAGAGGTCACCAGGAGGCCCCTTAGAGGCCCCCCAGGGGCCCCAAGAGACCCCCGAGAGACCCCCAGGAGGCTCCCAAGAGGCTCCCCAATAGAGCCCCAAATAAGCAAACATCGTCCATTTCCGATGGGGAAACTGATAGTTTTGGCGTGTTCGCCTTCGGGCTTACACTGCGTCCAAGACTGCCCAAAAGGCACCCAAGGCGGTCGAGGATGCCCCCAAGAGGGCTCCAAGACGGCCCACGAGGGGGCCAAGACGGCTCACGAGACGCCTAAGCCGCTCAACAATGCCCCAAGTCGGCGCCCAAGACGGGGACAAGGAACCGAACATGCGACCAAGAGGCCCCCAGGAGACCCCAAGAGGCTCCAAGAAGCGCCCAAGAAGCCCCAAGAGGTCCTAAGAGACCTGCAACAACACAGAACGAGTCCCCGAACACGCCCCACGGGGCACCCCAATAGAGCCCCAATAAGCAACTATCGTCGATTTCCGATGGGAAATACTATTTTTGGCGTGTTCGCCTTTTGGGCTTCCGCTGTGTCCAAGACGGCCCAAGAGGCCCCCAAGACTGCCCCACTGGCTCCCAAGAGGGCTCCCAGACGACCCCAAGAGGGTCCCAAGACGGCCCGAGAGGCCCCCAAGGCAGCCCAAGAGAGCCCCAGGACGAGCCCCAGAGGGGTCCCAGAGGTGCACAACCATATTCAAATTCCGAGCTCTCTGCCCCAGAGGCTCCCAGGAGGCCCAAGAGGCCCCAAGAGGCCCCCCAGGGGCCCCAAGAGGCCCCCAAGAGACCCCCAGGAGGCTCCCCAATAGAGCCCCAAATAAGCAAACATCATCGATTTGGGGCCCTCTAGGGGGCTTGTTGGGTGCCCGTCAAGGGTCTCGGGGCCGTCGGTGGGGCGCGATGGTTCTACCGAGCTCTCCCGAAGAGGCTCGGTTGAACCATCTAGGTGGGTCTTACTCTTAGAGCTCTCTTGTGGCGGCATTTGGGCCATTTGGGCCGGCTTGGGAGATTTTGAGCCATCGTGGGTCCGTCTTGAGACTCTCTCGGGGCCTTCTTGGGCCGTCGTGGGGACTTTTTGAGGCTCTTTGGAAGTTTACTGAGAGGATCTTAAGCCGAAGAGCCTCGAAAGCAAAGAGCACAGCTTTGTCTCCAGTTTTGGATTCTGATTTCGCCTATTTGGGCCTCGCCAGAGAGGTATCCTTTTGCCCCTCGTTGGGGCTCCTTCGGCCCCCTTCGAGCATTTGAGAGAATCCTGGACCCGTTGGGGGCTCGTTTGACCGTCTCTGGATGGGTTTATGGCGTTTTGCGTCCGTCTTGGAGGTATTTTTTTGCGAGAACCTGGACTCTTTGGGGGTTTTGATCCATCATCATTCGAGTTGGTTTGGTGCTGCTTTGGGGCCACGAGGAGCTCGGGGAATGCATCTGAGGAGGAGTGCTGTTCGAGGGTGCGCGCCCGCAAGGGCTGGGATCGGACCCAGAGAAACCAAGAACCCCTCCTCCTCCTCCTCCTCCTCCTCCTCCTCCTCCTCCTCCTCCTAACCAAGAACCCCTGCCAGAGAACTAACAAGCGCTCCGACGCGAACCGACACGCATTCCGAGCTCCGACGCCTCACTGCCCGTGCCAGCGTGGCGGCGGGCATGAGCTGGTACCCAATCGGCCGACCCGTGGGCACCACCATCTATCCAGGCATGCAGATCGTCTCGGTGTGGATCTGGGAGGCGCTCAAGCTCGTGCCCGAGCGGAAGGCCGTGTGGCTGCCAGAGGAGTGGCGCTCGGAGGTCCCCCGGTGGCTTCTGGCGTACCTGCCGAACCAGGGGAGGCCGCTTGCGTTCGGCCCGATGACTTTGAACGACGTGTGCGTCATGGTGCCCGCCTGGTTCGGGTCGGTTGCGACGCTGTTCACGTACTGGTTGACAGCGGAAATCTCCGGCAGTACGAGCGCAGGCGCTTTCGCAGCCTGCGTGATGGCCATCATCCCAGCTCATATCATGCGGTCTTACGCTGGAGAGTTTGACAACGAGTGCGTCGCGATGACCACCTTTGTTGCTTTTTTGTGGCTGTGGTGCCGCGCAGTGCGAACGCCAGGATCCTGGCCTTGGAGCGTCCTCGCAGGTGTGATGTACGTGTGCGCCGCGTGTACTTGGGGCGGCTACATATTTGTGAACAACATCGTCGCAATGCACGCCGCTGTTATTGTTGTACTAGGCAAGCACAACTACGGGCTCTACAGATCCTACACGATCTTGTGGATCATCGGCAGCCTCGGTGCCAGCTGCGTGCCGGTCATCGGCTGGGCACCAATCAGGTCGCTGGAGCAGATGCCAGCGCTTCTGACCTTCTTCGTCTTTCAGGTGATGCAGGTGTGCGACTTGTACCGCGCAGCGCAGAGGGGCGGCATGTCGGCATGGAAGTTCTTCTTCTTTCGCTGCGGTGTCTTCGCGGTCCTGGTTGGACTGGCTGCGGGGGCCGCCTACACGTTGTGGGAGTTGGGTTTCTTCATGCCCCTCGGCGCCCGGATTAGGGGCCTCTTCTTGAAGGCCCAGAAGACAGGGAACCCGCTGGTGGACTCGGTGGCCGAGCATCAGCCGTCCAGCAGCCAGGCCTACGAGCGGCTCCTGGGGGATCCCAGGTACCTGTCGGCGCTCGGGCTGCTCCTCTTCAGCTGGCACCAAGCAACACCGGCCAAGTTCCTGGTATCGATCTACGCGGTCGTGTCCTATTACTATTCGCTGAAGATCGAACAAGAACACCCTGCATAAGCATAAACTCTTGGCGCTCCGCGCGGACTTCTTGGATCCGCGCTGGGCCGAACCAGCGGCGCCTCCGGCGCCGCCCCTGGCGCGCTCCGCGCGCCAGGGAGGGAGGTCCAGCGCAGACCCAAGAAGTCCGCGCGGAGCGCCAACAGTCTATGTTTATGCCGCTGCTTCTTCTTCCAGAAGATGTCCAGGCTGATGATTATCTGCGGCCCCATCGTCTCGATCCTCGCAGGCTTTCCAGTTGGAATTGTTGGTGATTGTCGGGCCGAACGAACAGGGGGGGATAGGGAAAGGGGGGTTACGAAGTCTGCTGCGTGCAGCTGGTCTCGGCCCCGCCGCCGGGCCTCCATTCCTCGATGCATGGGCGCCTCCCGGCGCTGGGAGGCGCCGGGGAAATCAGCTACGTGAGCTGATTCTCCCCCCCCCCCCTTTGCTCCTGAAGTACGTTACGCATTGTCCTGAGTAGACCCCCGACGCGCGCAGCTTCTCATGCGAGGCCACGGCCTCACCCGCCTCGCCCTTCAGGGGCCCGGGCGCATGCCCGCACAGGCGTTCCGTTCCGTTCCGTTCCGTTCCCCCCCCTTTGCTATCCGCCCCTCTCGCCCAGCCCGAGATTGGTGCATCGCACAGCTGCTCGGGGTGCTCGGAGGCGGCCGGCAGCCCGCCGCAGAGCCGCGGCCGCCGCCGCCGCGCACGGGGGGCATGGGATCCATCTGGCGCTGCGCATGGCGACGGCTGCGGCCCGTCCTGTACCCTCGGGAGCTCCAGGACTCCGAGCGGGACAAGGTACCCATACCTCCTCCTCCTCCTCCTCCTCTTCCTCCCACTCCTCCTCCTCCTCCTCCTCCTCCTCCTCCGCCTCTTCCCCCTCCTCCTCCTTCTCCTCCTCCTTCTCCTCCTCCTCCTCCTCCTCTTCCTCTACCTTTCGGCCGTTTTCCTCTTTTCGGGCCTCCTGGGACGCCCTCGTCGCCACCGCTGGATTTGCTTCGAAATTCTGGTCAGAACGCACCCAGGGAGAGGTCCGGGGGATAGCAGTGTCGGTACCTCTCGGTTTCCCCGAGGACGCCTGGGCTGCGAAGGAGAGGTTTGCCGCGAACCATCCGCTGGTGGACAGGCCTTTGCGGGCAGTCGTGGCCGTGCTGGTTGTGCTCAGGGGGCTCCAGGGATTGATACGGCCGTCGCGCGACTTCATCAACTTGTGCGACGAGACTGCTCAGGGCATGGCGGCGAATCCGAGGATCGCGTTCAAGGCCTCGCTCCAGAGTGGCGAGGATATCATCGTCACCGACTACCTGGACGGCTATAACTGGATTAGAGAGAACACGCCCGCAGACTCTCGGGTCATAGCCTGGTGGGATTATGGGTACCAGATCACCGGCGTGGCCAACAGGACCTCCGTCGCGGACGGCAACACTTGGAACCACGAACACATTGCCACCCTCGGGCGCATCCTGACAAGCGAGCAGAGGAAGTCCTACAATTCCATGCGGCACCTGGCCGACTATGCGCTCGTGTGGGCTGGAGGCCGCGGCGACGACATGGCCAAGTCGCCCCACCTGGCGCGGATCGGCAACTCGGTGTTCCCCGACCATTGCGGCGACGAGGACCCCTTGTGCAGGAACTTCAACATGTATGAGGACCTTGGGCAGCTTCAGGGTTGGATATGCTCGGAAGGGATGCATCGCCCCCCAATCGCCGATTCATTGCCGATAGGGGCCTGATAGCACATCCCGCCCAGGAACGTGCGGACTCGCTGTCGGGGGCCTATCGCTGACCTATCGTCGATGTGCCGCCGATTCCAGCTCGATGTTCCCCCCCTGAACAGCCCCCCTCCCCCCTTGGCGTTGCCCCTGAGAGGATGGCTCGCCCACCCCCATGATGGGAAGGTCGTTCTTGTACAAGGCGGTCAACCACCAGAAGGTAGACGGGGTGGCGTTGAGCTCCAAGCTGTTCCAGGAGGTGCACACGACGAAGTACGGGCTGATGAGGGTGTTCAAGGTGCTCAACGTCTCCGAGGAGTCGAAGGCGTGGGTGGCCGACCCAGGAGCCCGGGTAGCGGCGGCCAACGCGCCCACGCCGCCCCCGGCCGGGCCGATCCTGGAACGGGGACTGGCGCTCACGCCCTCCTCGAGATCTCGACATCGCGAGTCCATGTCGGCGACTTCAAAGGGTATGGTTACGCCGGGGTGTGGTTTGCGATCGGCACCGTTGGGGCCTGGGAGGCACGACGCTGTCCTCGTCGGGCCCCCTCGGTGCGCGGACGAGCTCTGTCGAGGTCCCCGCGCGCCCCCCGGGATGTTCCCCAGGGTGCTGGCTGCAAACCACACTCTTCGCAAACCACCCCCTCTGGAGTCGCCGAGTCTCGACACCGCGAGCACATGGAAACACCATGAGATATCACTGCCGGGGCTCTTAGCTCATGGCTGCCAGTGGCATGTCTGCAGGGGCCGCTCCGAGAGCGGGCTGGGCGAGTCGCCGGTCCGCGGCGCTCGCGGTGCGCGAGCCCACGCATCCTCAGTCTCCACGTCTCCCTGCTTTCTCACGAGGGCGGCGCGAGTGCGCGAAGTGACTCGCGCTTCGCGCAGCGCGGCGCGCGAACGCCGCTGGCCTCACGTCGTGCCTGCCCCTCTGCAGGAGGAATATTCCCATACAGTCAAAAACAATCCGGGGACGATTCTGTGGCTATTTTCAAACTCTTTTTTTTGGGGGGGGGGTATTTTTGAGTCTTCGCCCAAGATCCCCCTGCAGGGGGACGTGCCCGATCCAGAGCTGGCCCCGCTTTGGAGCCCCGCTTTGGAGCCCGCTTGGGGGGGGGGGTATTTTTGGAGCTCTCGTCCAAGATCCCCCTGTAGGGGGACGCCCCCCCCCCCCCCCGGGGGCCCGCAGGCCGGGCGGGAGCGCCCGGCCTGCGGGCAGGCTGCGGCGCGAGGGCCTCGGAGGGGCCCCGCGGGCCCGGCGCGGGGCGCGGGGCGCGGGGCGCGGGCGGCGCGCCCCCGCGGCTGCCGCCGCCGCAGCCCCCCCAGGCATGCATGCGATGTGTGTTTCGGGCAGTGGCGAAGCGTCCTGGCGAACCTCCCTCCTCCTCCCTCCTCCTCCTCCTCCCTCCTGGCGAACCTCCCTCCTCCTCCTCCTCCTCCCCCCTCCCCTCCCTCCTGGCGAACCTCCTCCTCCTCCCTCCTGGCGAACCGCCCTCCCTCCTGGCGAACCTCCCTCCTCCTCCCTCCTCCCGGGACGGTCGGTCCCTGCTCAAGTTTTTGGTGCTTCCCATACGCGGTCCCTGGAAGTCCTGGCCCATACGCGGTCCCATGCGCGGTCCCATACGACGTCTTGCTTTTCCCCCTAGCAGGCCCCTGGAAGTCCTGACCCTTCGGGGGCCACGTGCGAACCCTACCCCTACCCCCCACGATTTCTGAGAGGGAGGGTGGGGCAGTGTTCGCACGTGGCCCCCTGACCCTTTCCCCAGCCGGTTCCTCCTCCCGAGCCTTTCTTCTCCGACGGCCCCGAGGCCCGTCGAGGGCCACTGGAGGCCAGAGATGGCCAACAGTCGACTAGACGTAAGTCGGGCTTGTCCCTCTACAGGGGGAATATTCAAAAATAGTATAAACATAGTCAGGGGACTTTTCTAAGAATACCATTTTGGAGTATTTTCCTTTTTTTGTTTGTTTTTATTTTCCGTCGCAAATTCCCCTGTAGCTAGACGTAAGAGTGACCTTTCGCCGGAGTGACCTTTGGTGCGGGCCGAATGGCGTCCCCCGATCGCCGAACGCGAGGCGGCAGTGGCGTCTTGCGCGCTTGCGTGTCGGCCACCCTGCGCCCCCCCCGAAAGCCGCGCACCAAAGGCCACCCTTACCCAGGGGCGCTCTCGCGTCGTGGCCGGAGCAGCCTCGCGCCGTGGTCGCGAGCATGTCCTGGGGAAACCGAAAGGTACCGATATTGCTACCCCCGGACCTCTCCCAGGGTGCGTTCTGACTAGAATTTCGAGGCGAATCCAGCGGTGGCGACGAGGGCCTCCCAGGAGGCCCGACAAGGGGATAACTGCCGAAAGGTAGCGGTATGGGTACCTGTTGCTGTCCTAGCCCCCTCCTCCTAGTCTCTCTCGTGCTCCATCCTCCTCCCTCCCCCTTGTCCCTTCCTTTCATTCGTTCTCTCTTCCCTTGCCTCAGGGGATGCGCGAAATATACGTTGCATGCAAGGAAGACATGCCCCCAAGGGGGTACGGTCGAAGACGAAGAGGGCGGGTATCGAGGGTTCGGGATCTACGTGTTGAGTGGCACGCGAGCAGATGAGAGCGAACAGTCTTAAACTTATTGTTGTTATTATCGTTGTCGTTGTCATTGTCGTTGTCGTTGTCGTTGTTCTTGTTGTTGTTGCTGCTGCTGTTGTTGTTGAGGTCTCAGTTGTAAATAATTTGCTGTTCCCCTCCGCTGGTGCACGTTGTGTTCTTCAATTCAAGTGTCCCTCTCGGGGCGCGCACCTTTTTTTCATGAGCGAAACTCTTCCTGCTCAAACTGTATCCCGCACCCCCCGTTTACAATAACAGTGGCTCCCGCTCGATACGTCCTTACAATTTGTTTCAAAGTCGCGCTCTCGCGCGGGACGCCGTCACAATTTATGCAGGAACCGCGCTCTCGCGTGGGACTTGCTCGCAACGTATTCAGACGCCGCGCCCTCGACACTCAGGAATCACGCTCTCGCTTTGGCTATTCTAGCGGTTTAATTGGGAATGGCGCTGTCCCTCGAGACTTGCTCGCGATTCATGCAGGACTCACGCTTCAGCAACCCGCCTGCTCGACCTGGCTGTCTGGGCCCGCCTTCCCGACCCGCCCATTAGGGTCGACGCGCCCGATTTGCCCGTCTGGTTCTGCCACGTGTTTTTCTGCTTCTAGCACCCCTCCTGCTAATCTCTCTCGTGCTCCATCCTTCTCCTTCCCCCTTCCATCCGTCCTCTCTTCCCCTGTTTTAAGGGGCTGCGCTAAATGCATGTGGCAGGTAAGGACGGTATAAAAGGGTGCGATGGAACCCGACGACGGCGGGTACCGACGGTTTGGGATCGACAATTTGGAATGGCACGCTAGCAGGTAGGAGCGAACAGTCTCGCAATGATTGCTGTTGTTGCGACGCGAGCATGTCTGCGTAGTTGTATGGCCTGGTGTCCTCCCCGAGGAAACCGCGAGTGCGACGCGCCCGGGAGCTGGTACTGCGTCGGGCAGTACCCGCCAGCGTTGGCGCCGCTGATCGCGAAGAGGCGCAACTTCGCTCAGCTGGAGGACCTCTGCAAGATTAGGGCAGCCGACCCAGATATGCCCACGCCGTGAACAGACTCACGTCGGAAGGTTTCCGGTCGTCCACGGGCTCGGGGGGCCCTCGCTGGGCCGCAGGACCGTACCAAACGCGATTCGGATGAAAATCCAGCCCCAGGAAAGGGTCGAGCCTATTCCAGGGACCCCGCAGCAACAAACATCAAGGCATCGCATGTCTGGTGACTGGGGGTTGTTTACCAGCCTGGAACATATCCCTATCCCTATGCTGGGCATCTCCTCATCACGATGCCAATCTTAGGGATTCCCTTATTTTTTGAGGGCGCGTCCCTAATATTGTCATCGCTTTCTGGCGTGTCAATCTTAGGGATAGGGATACGTTCGAGGTTGGTAAGTTGTGTGGACCAGGCAGGGTCCATTTCGACCCGATCGATCCGATGCGGCACCGATTCTGGCCCGCTCGACCCGATGCGACCCCGCTGCCTCGACGACCACGTGTGGCCCCGAGGCTCACATGGCTTGGCATCGCTCGGACGTGTGCATTTTTTCTCGGCGAGAACCATCGAGGACCATCCTGGACCATCGAGCAAAGAAAACACGCGCGAAACCGAAAAATGCACGGGAAACGGACGTCCGAGCGATGACGAGATGGTGCTTGTGTGCATCCTGGCGCAGCCGACCCGATTCCATTTCAACGCCGTGCCAGCGTGGCCCGATCCGACGCACGTTCCGGCCCCCTCCCCATCTCCCGAGTCGATGCTGACTGATCCTGCATCGGGCGGTGGCCCCGGAGGCAAGCATCGCCCTCCAAGCACCCATGTAGCGATAATCGCGGCCTTTTTTTATCAGTGCTGCCTTCTTGAAAAATCAGAGCAATTTTTGATAAGTTGTTCTGCGTTTTTACCAGCGGCCCATCGCCGATCTAGTATCGTAGATTCCAAGTCTAGGTCGGGCATGTCCCCCTGCAGGCGGATTTTGGACGAAAAAAGATGCCCAAGAAATGCCCAGAATTATTCAACACACCCTTCCAAGTTTATTTTTTGACCATGTTTGTAGATTCCTCCTGTAGAGGGACAGGCCCGACTCAATTCCAACTCTTCTGTTGTTTCCATCGTGCTTAAGGGCCACATTCCAGAAATAGTTTCGATCACTCGGAAAAGTGTCGAAACAGTGTCGAAACAGTGTCGAACGAGCGTCTCTCGGGGCCCAACAAGTGAAAACTCTCCAATGTCGATGCTTTCCCGGTGCTCGAAATTCTTCCTGGCTCTCAACGCTAAAGTACAGTGCCGATTTTGATACATGCTTCGCGTGCGGATCATGTATAACAAATGCGATGATTTAGTAGAAAAACAACTATGAGTTCATGCATCAATTTATTCATGAATTAAACATGTATTAGAAATCGGATATTTTTTTCAAATCCTACGTATGACAAAAAACTGCCCTGTAGGTTGGAACATCATAATCCAAGGCAGTGTTTGCCCTCCCCCACGAGCCCCTCCTCCCCTCCTAGTGTCTCGCCTCACGGGAGCGGCAGCGAGAGCTGCGCCAGATCCTCATCCTCCTCCCTCCTCCTCCCTCCTCCTCCTCCTCGTCCTCCTCCTCCCCCTCCTCCTCCTCCTCCTCCTCCTCCTCCTCCTCCTCCTCCTCCTCCTCCTCCTCCCCCTCCGCCTCCCCCCTCTCCCCCTCCCCCTCCCCCTCCCCTTCCCCCTCCTCCTCCTCCTCCCTCCTCCTCCTCCTCCTCCTCCTCCTCCTCCTCCTCCTCCTCCTCCTCCTCCTCCTCCTCCCCTCATTCCTTTGGCGCCGGGAAGCGCTGGGAAAACCAGCTGCGTGAGCTGTTTCGTCAACTACCCCCCTCACTAAAGAACCTCCTTTCAGAGTGCGTTCCAGCATGGTTCACGGGCGTTCTGCGTCTGGCCGCAGTCTGCCTGCTTCAGCCAGAGCCCCGGCATTGCGCCGAAAGGGGACATCTGTGCGTTGATCATCGGCCGTCCGCGTCGGTCTCCCTTTTCCCCCCCTCCCTCTCAAAACGATGCGCTGAGAAACAAGCAACATCTTCCTTTCGTAATCGCCACTTGATCCTCCTCCTCCTCCCCCTCCTCCTCCTCCTCCTCCTCCTCCTCCTACTCCTCCTCCTCCTCCTCCTCTCCTGCATCCCTCCTGCGGGTCGCCCTCTAGGGTTGTGAGGCCGCCCGCGCTTTTTGTGCCTGGCGTCCCAGGACGGGAAGCGGTGCCCTGTTCTCCGGAGCGGTTGCGCGGGACGCGTCAAGACGATCGCGCCTCGCCCGATTCGGAGCGTGAAGTTGGGTGGCAGCAACTGAAAGGCTAGCAGAGCTCCTCCTCCTCCCCCTCCTCCTCCCTCCTCCTCCTCCTCCTCCTCCTCCTCCTCCTCCTCCTCCTCCTCCCCCCCTCCTCCTCCTCCTCCTCCTCCTCCTCCTCCTCCTCCTCCTCCTCCTCCTCCTCCTCCTCCTCCTCCTCCCCCTCCTCCTCCTCCTCCTCCTCCTCCTCCTCCTCCTCCTCCTCCTCCTCCTCCTCCTCCCCCTCCTCCTCCTCCTCCTCCTCCTCCTCCTCCTCCTCCTGCTCCTAATATCAGTCTCAGGGGCACCGTTGCGGGGGCGCGATCGGCTCTCGGGGCGGATGCGTCGACCCCCCGTCGCAAATTCATCGCCGATAGGTACAGTCGGGACCTTGACCTAAGGAACCCAAAACAAGGAACTAGGCCTCCTTTTTCCATAAGTTGAACTTCGATTTCCCATCGAAAGCATAAGGAAAACCTGAGGCAAGCTGCGAAACACTTAAGGAACGCGGAGCCCCTCCCCAACGAGAAGGGTTCCTTGTTCAGGGCCCCGACTGCAGGGGCCCGATAGCCCACCCCGCCCAGGAGCATCAGACAGGAACGTTCGGTGTCGCAGTCGTGGGCCCGATCGATCGGCGCTGCAGTGCCGAAGCGCGCTCGATGTTGCCCTCCCTGAGCTGGTTCCCTCCATCGCCGCCCCTCAGGCAGGGGACTCAGGTGATATCGACTGAGCATATACTGTCGAACGTCCGCGCGGATCTTTGGGATCTGCGTTTGGCCCCCCTGGCGGTGTCTGCATTGCCGCCCTTGGCGCGCTCCGCGCGCCGGAAAGGGGGTGTCCAGCGCCGATGTTTATACGTATTCAGCTCTCCTTCCTCAAGCTAGTCTTCATCCTTCTAGTTCTTTTTTCCTCATCATCTCTTCTGCACTGGGCCTCGGAAGCAGCTCTCGCGCTGGTCCGTCTGAGGGGTGGAGAGTCCGCGTGCCGTGCGCCTCCTGCGAGGCGATCGCCGACGACACTGACGCATCTGCCTTGCCTTTTTGCATTCTTTTCTCAGGACTTCAACAAGGGCAGGCGCGAGAAGAGTGCGTACACGAAGCTGATCGAGGAGGAGCAGATGGCCGGGCGCTGATGCATCCCATAGGCTGTCGTGCTGCGACTGGTTGGCGTGCCTCCGTGCGAAAAGAATAGCTCCTGCAGTCCTTCACGCGCCCCCTCGTGCCGCCGCTGGTCCCTTGCCCTGCTCCCTCGCTTGCGAACGTTGACCAAATCCTTGAGCCGTCGTAGAGCCACGCTATCGGCAAGTCTTGACTTGCAGTCGGGGCGCTGAAGAAGGAACCCTTTTCGTTAGGGAAGAGCTCGGTGTTCCTTGATTGTTGTGCAGTTTGCCTCAGCTCTTCCTGAGGTCTTCCATTGGACATCGAAGTTCAACTTGTGGAAAACAGGTGCCTCGTTGGAGGGCAAGGGGTGAGATCTGAAATGCCGTTTCGGTTGATCTTCGATGCGTGAATCTGTAAAGGGTGAGTCACACGAGGCGGCGGATTGACTTTCGAGGTGCAAGAGCCCACATGGGTTTCACCCTGCGCCCTCCACCCTACAGTGCCGCTTTTCATACATGCTCCGCGTGCGGATCATGTATTGAAAATGCAGGGAATTAGTATTAACAACAACGATGAGTTCATGCATACATTTATTCATACATTTGCTCATGTATCAAACATCCGATATTCTTAAAGATCCAATGCGTTAAAGACTGCCCTACAAGACAATGTTCAGGGTTCCCTAGGTTAACGCCCCGACTGCAGCGGCAGCGCCCTGGACGCGCAGCATCGCGACCAAAAACGCTCGGCGTGCCGCTGGCCGTGCCGGCCTCTCGTGCGAGCCCTCTCGCCCCAGGGGGGGTGGGGGGGCGGCACGCGGAGGGTCTGCGCAGCGGCGGTGGGCCGAAGTCGGGCGTGCCCCTCTACAGAAGGAGTATTTTGAAAAGGAAAGAAATAACATGGGGACGATTTTTGTTTTGTTTTTGGTGTTGGTGTGCAATTTTTTTCAGTACGTGTCATTGTTTTTTGTTTAAATATTTCGTCCAACATCCGTCTGTAGGGGGACACGCTCGACCTGACCGTGGGCGTCGACCTGACAGTCGGCGTCGGCCCCTCTACAGAAGGAGTAGTTCATCGGAGGTTGACAGACCTCCTACCCTGACACGTCGATTCAGGAATTGGCCGTTTTCGATTCGCGAGAGGGCGTCGCGGCCGTCATTTGTGCGGGCCCAGCTCCGTCGGTTTCGGTCCCAGGCCGTTTTCACTAAGGGGAGGTGTACTACAGGGAGGTTTGCCCACCGCCGATTAAAACAAGTAAAAACATAGTATGGGGACCATTTAGTTGTGTACAATTTTTGAGTATGTGTCAACTATTTTGTATAGTTCGTCCAAAATCCGCCTGTAGGGGGCATGCTCGACCGAACCGTGGGCGTCGGCACACAGAGGTTGCCAACGACGCTTGCTCAGAGATCTAGGTATGTTCGCCGATGGTCTGCCATCTGGGCACTCCAGACATCCGACGTTGTTCAGTATCGTTAGACCGATCCCTATCCCCATACTCGTCCACATCTCGAGCCCCGCCGTCTCACCACCTCAGTTGGGGATCTGCCCCACGAAACCCGAAGAGAGCAGCCTATGTCCCCATCTAGGGGGGTAAATCGGCCAGTGTGGCCCAGCCCACGCTGGTGTGGATGGGGATCGGTTGAGCGATGCTCAGTTGTGATTTTCTCACGACGTGGGCCCCGGGAGGTTTAGGCCGCTTCCCCAGATTGGCTTCTCATCCTGCGTATTGTGTTCTGACAGTCGCGGGGCCCAGTAAGGGCCCTTCGAAGGCCGAACATTGCAAAGAAGTAGGTGCACGTTTTGGCTTAAGCGACGCGGGGATCTCAGGGTCTCATTTTTCTCGAGTCGGCAGGGCAGTGACGCCGATGTCCTCAGCGACCGCCTCGCAGGAGGCGCATGGCACGCGAGCTCTCGGCCCCTCTTCTGGCACAGCGCGAGAGCTTCTTCCAGGGCCCCCACAGGAGACAGGCTCGGGAGGAGGAGGAGGAGGAGGAGGAGGGAGAGAAGGTGGAGGAGGAGAAGAGAGGCACGGGGAAGGATGAGGAGGCTTGGCTCGAACAACGAAACCACACGGCACAAGCATAGACTCCTGCAGCTCCGCGCGGATCCCTCGGATCGGCGCGGAAAAATCCCCGCAGATGCACGGCGAGGTCACCTCGAGGCTTCAAGGGCTCCCACGAGGGCGCGAAGTTATTCGCGCTTCGCGCTTCGCGGTCCTCGTTCCTTCTCCCCCTTCTCCTCGTCCTCCTCTCCTCCCTCTGGGAGGGCGGCGCGAGAGCGCGAAGTTATTCGCGCTTCGCGCTTCGCGCAGCGCGAAGCGCGAAGTTGGGAGCCCTCGAGGCTTGTGGATAGCAGCGCCATCACCGGTGGCGCGCCGCCGTGGGGCGTGCAACAGCCCCACGCTGCCGATCGAAGGACACAGCGCGACGTAGAGATCCCAGACGGGAAGGTTTATCCGTAGATCCCAGGAGGAGGAGGAGGAGGAGGAGGAGGAGGAGGAGGAGGAGGAGGAGGAGGAGGAGGAGGAGGAGAGGAGGAGGAGGAGGAGAGGAGGAGGAGGAGGAGGAGGAGGAGGAGGAGGAAGAGGAGGAGGTAATGTGTCGCCTCGGACCCATGCCTGATGGCCTCGCGTCACGACACCAGGTTGGGATGCAACTCCTGGGAGGTCAAATTCTGATTTTGCATTGGTCCGAAGTCCAGCTTAATCTAATCCAGCTTGATCCCGCTAAATCCCGCTTAATCTGGCTTAATCCCGCTTAATCCGAGGCCCACACCGGCGTAATAGCTCCCAAATGGGGCTTAATCCCCTTTTTTTATCTTTCCGACGGAAACCTCACAGTAGTTGCCTCCTAACCTGGGGGATCGATTTTCGCGGACCTCCACAGGCGGTGGATGTGGGTCTGGTCGGGCCCCCGGGGGCCAAAATGCATCCATATCCACCGCCCGCCGAGGGAACCGGGACGTCAGTTCCGAGGCGGTGGACATGGATATATCCCCGCCTCGCGCGGAGTTGCGCGCGGACTTCCCGGATCGGCGCTAGTCCCCCTTGGCTGCGCCTCTGGCGCAGCCCCTGGCGCGTTCCGCGCGCCAGGGAGGGGGGTCCAGCGCCGATCCGAGAAGTCCGCACGGAGCTCCGAACGGTACATTTATGCAGTTGTACGTTGCTTTACCCCCACCCCCCGAGGTAGGGAGGGGAAGCCACCCCTCAGATGTTCGTTTTGGGGACCTTCCTGGGGCCCACCGTACGGATCTGTTCGTCTCCAGGACGGCTCCAGTTCGAATCCAATTCGATTCTAACTTGACTCTAGTTCGATTCGATTTTGACTCAACGTCGACTCAAGCCGACGGACATCCGATGCAACATCGACGCGTGAGTGGAGCAAGTGGAAGTTGCTCCAGCAATGTCTCCAGAACGAGCGTCTAACACCCCAACCCCCAAAGTAGCGTTTACTGGGAAATCCTTGGCGTTTGCTGGACAGTCCGGTTTGCTCACAGGGGTGCTTGCTTATGTGGGTGATGGACTACACGTCATGAGCGTCTCGCCCGCTCGCATTACCCTGTCCACGGCCGTTCTCGCCTTCACCGCCTCATCGGTATGTGTTCACCGTTTTGTATCCCGACCTGCATCCCCCTGGAAACTTGATGCAACTTTCGCAGGTCGTGTCGAAGAATCTTCTGGGGGACTTCCCTGGGGGTATTTTCTCGTCCCAGGTCCGCTTTTGACGCTCCCAGGGCCCGAAAACGGCCCCCGAAGGCCAACACATTACGAATGTCAAAGGCGACGACACCACACGAGTCGACGATTATTGTTGCACTACTCTTCCAGGGCAGTGCAGGCCCTCTCGCGCTGAGCGACCTCCAGCGCCGCGACAGCAAATCGAACTGTGAGGGTGGTGATTCTGCCGTGTGGTCGTCTTTTTATTCGTTGTCTCGCCGATCGGCGCGTGCCCTCGCCCCCCCTCCCCCCCCCTCCATGGAGTAGATCTTGGCCGTTTCAGGGCGCCTGCTTCAGGCAGGTGGGGTCTCCCCATAGGACGCACTGCTGCAAGCAGCCGCACTCGGCAGGGGCCCGGAGCCAGACCCCCCCCCCTTCCGCTGCCCTCCGCCCAATGTCGAAACGCCGAAGAAGAAAGCGTCGGCCCGCGACCCCGGCGCGCTGGCAGCCGTGGCCGTGGCCGTGGCCGTGGCCGTGGCCGTGGCCGTGGCCGTGGCCGTGGCCGTGGTTGTGGCCGTGGCCGTGGCCGTGGCCGTGGCCGTGGCCTTGGCCGTGGCCGTTGCCTTGGCATCTGCACGGGGAGCGCCCCCGAGGGCGCGGAGCTGCTGCGGGAGGCCGAGGAGCTGCTGTCGCAGCTGGAGGCGCCCTCGGCCCCGGGTGCCGACGGCGCCCGCGCAGAGCCCTGCGGCGGCGGCGGCCGCGGCCGCGGGCGGCGGCTGGCGGCGAGGGAGGGGAGGGGTGGACGAGAAAGAGGGAGGGGAGTGGAGGGGAGGGGAGGGGAGTGGAGGCGAGGGGAGGGGGGTGGAGTGGAAGGGAGTGGAGTGGAGGGGAGTGGAGGGGAGGGGAAGGAGGGGAGGGGGTAGAAGTGGAGGGGAGGGGAGGGGAGGAGAAGAAAGGGGAGTGGAGTGGGAGTGGAGTAGGGGAGTGGAGTGGAGTGGAGGGGGGGGGGGAGTGGGCGGGGAGGGGAGATGGAGGGAGGGAGGGCGGCTACCGGTGGACTGCGTCTCGGCACGGCGGGGAGGCCTCTGTGGCGGCGGGGCGCGGGCATGCGCGTCAGTGGAAGCAGCGTTCGATGGGTAGGCGAACTCCGAGTCCGAAGTGGAGAAGTCGTCGTCGTCCTTCGTCGTCCTCAGGGTCATCGTCGGCGGCGGCGGCCCGCTCAAGCACTGGCTCGGGCTCGGCCTCCCAACGATCGTCTTGTCGATGACGTACGGCCTCCAGCTGCTGGTACTTCCCGGGGTGCCTGCGGGTAGAGTTCGCTGTCCCGGTGCCGGCAACCCCCAGACGGGCGGCAGCTCTGGCGGCAGCCTCGCTGGGCATCGCGGCAGGAGCCTCCGCGACGGCACCGGCCTTGTAAAGGGGCTCCAGCTTCGCGTCTGACTCGGCCGAGCACGGCAGGTGCAGCAGCAGGTGCGCTGGCCGGGGAAGCAGCGGCAACCGCGCCCCCGAACTCACGCCTCGCGGCGGCGGCGGCGGCGGTGCTCGAAGAGGCGGCGCAGGCACTCGGCGGCGCCCAGGTGAGCCGCACAAGCGCCACGCTCCGCGCCTGTTGGATCGCCCTTTCATGGGCGCCGCTGCGGTGACCATCCACGGGGCGCTTCGTCGGGGCATAAGCTTAAGTCGGGCCCGTCCCTCTACAGGAGGAAAATTCAAAAATAGGCAAAAAATAGTATGTGAACTATTTTCCGAGTATTTTTTGACCATTTTGGACTATTTTCGGATTTTTTTATTCTTCGTAGAAAATCCCCCTGTAGGGAGGGGGACAGGCCCGACCTAAGCATAGGCTGGGCACGAGGCAGGCTATAGCCCAGCCTTCGCGCAGCGGCACGAGGGAGCGGCCTGGGCAGGCAGCAGCTTCGGCGCCCGCCAGGAAACTGTCGCGGCACGCGGCCGCCTGCGCCTGCCAGGAGGTTCCCAGCGGGGGCGACGCGCATGGCAGCCGTCCTGGTGACGGCGGCCAGCATCAGCATCCCGTGTGCTGGAACGGCCCCCTGACAGTGGACGGCCGGAGGAGGAGGGGGGGGAGGAGAAGGAGGAGGGAGCTGACGGAGGAGGGAACTGGAGGAGGAGGAGGAGGAGTAGGAGTGAGAGAGGAGGAGGAGTTAGAGGAAGAGAGGAGGGGAGGAGACGGAGGAGGAGAGGAGGAGGAGGAGGAGAGGGGAGGAGGAGACAGAGGAGGGAGGAAGGAGGAGGAGGAGTAGGAGGAGAGAGGAGGAGGAGGAGAGTGGAGGTAGGAGGAGGAGGAGGAAGGAGGAGGAGTAGGGAGGAGGAGAGAGGAGGTGAGAGTGAAGGAAAGGAGGAGGCAGGAGGCAGGAGGAGTGAGGAGGAGGAGGAGGAGGTGAGGAAGAGGGAGGAGGCTGAGGAGGAGGAGGAGGACAAGAGGGAGGCGAGGAGGGCGGAGGGGTGGGGGGCGGGGGAGAGGGAGGGAGGGCGCACCTCTCAGGCGCAGGAAAGCTCGCCGACAGGCTGAGAGGCTGAGGATCTCCTGGCCCGCGTCCGCCCGCGACCGGCCCTCCTCTCGTTTGCACAACAGCGCCCGGCGAAGGGAGAGTCAAGGTGCGTTTGGGAGGGTGGAGGGAGGGACGAGGACAAGGAGAGGAATGATGATGATGATGATGATGATGATGATGATGATGATGATGATGAGATGATGATGAATGATGATGATGATGATGATGATGATGATGATGATGATGATGATGATGCTGATGCTGATGCTGATGCTGATGATGATGATGATGATGATGAGGAGGAGGAGGAGGAGGAGGAGCAGGAGGAGGAGGAGGAGGAGGAGGAGGAGGAGGGGAACGAGGAACGGGAGGAGGAGGAGGGTGAGGAGGAGGAGGAGGAGCAGGAGAAGGAGGACTCGTGCAAGCCGAAGGCGCGTCAACGATGTTGCAATAATTACACCGGTCCCTACAATAGTGGATTCGGGAAGTGCCCCATTGAGAGACAACCGTATGAAAGTTTTGAATCGTGCAAGAACGCAATCTTGGGACTTCGGCGCCGCGAAAAACAACGGGACGGTTGCGTCCTGACAATCACAACTCGTGTCAGAACGCAGTTCCTGGGGCTTCAACACCGCGGATCAATGTGACCGTGGCGTCTTCTCGATCTTGAGTCGCACCAGAACAGAATTTCTTGGATTTCAAGCCCTACGAATTCTTGAACTGCACAATTCTAAAGCGAAATTGCGCGGTGCGCAGGCGAGAGCAACATTTTGAAAATGAGCCGCCCTCCATTTTGACGCTGTTGCATTTGAGGCGAACGTGCACGGCGTCAAGGCGAGAGCCACATTTTGAAAACCACCCGCGCTCCATCCTTGAAATTGTTTCAAATTTCAAGCTTCAGGATGACATATGGCGAGGACGTCTCAGGCGAAACGCCTGGCCCGCCCTACCGACACGTCTGGGGGTTCCACAGGGAGGGGTAATTTATCAGGGGGAGAGATGGAGGAGGAGGAGGAGGAGGAGGACGAGGAGGAGAATAGGCTGCTGGTTATGCGTCTCCAGGTTTCTGGCGTATTTGGGTCCTAGCGGCCACGTTCGTTGTCGACCTCGTCGTCGTTCCCCTCCCTCCGCCTGTGTCCTCTACCTACTCGCCGTCGTCAATGTCGTCGTCGTCGTCGTCGTCGTCGTCATAGCCGTTGTCGGCGTCTGGCTCTCCCCGCGAAATTGGAAGCAAAGGTTTTAAGGAGCATATCTTCAGCCACTGGTTTTGGTGAAAGCAGCACTTTGTAGCTTTCAGAGAGTGTTGCTCCTTGCTTCTGCGGTTTCCCCTGCTTCCCCAGTGTTTTGTTGGAGGTTCTGGGGCCTCATTGGGCATCTGGAGGCGCCCTCGTCGAAATCCTGACCACAACGCGCTTCAGGAGAGGCATGTCGGGCGATTCTGTGCCGCCAGGGCCTCTCCGGAGGCCCAGGTGGTCTCGAGCCCTATTCTGGGCCGGCTTCGCTGCCTGTTTTCATGCTGTTTATATTTTGTTTTGGGGACCGCTGCGGCCCAGTCGTGACTCAGGAGGCGTACCAACCTGTGACTGTTGGGTGTTCCGTCGCATAGTTGTGTACGTTGCCGAAAGAGAGTCAGTGAAAACGCGCAGCCCCTTCTTGGTCGCGCCCTGAGGCAGGCCGCTTTCCCTTTCCGAGACTACCTCCTTCCTCCCATTCGTCCTTCATCCCTCTCCTCATGCATCTGGTCTCTTCTCCTTGTTTTCCTCTTCGGTGTCTCTGCCACCTCCTCTCAATGTCATCCACACATCAAACCAGGATACATTACGTACTGTGGAGTGACCTTTTTTAATATGCTCAGCATATTTTCTGGAGAAGAGGACGCGGTAATTCAAACAACAGAGCGAGGTGAACGATACGCAGCATCTTCATCGCACCAAGCATACATACAGTGAGACCAATAGCAAGAACCTCAACGAGACAGACCACATTGGTGCACGTATGCCATTTCCGAATCAGTGGTTTACTCATGTGGATACCGTGCGTACTACAGATTCAAGCGTGTCCTTCAGGCGCGCATATCAGTGCCCCGACCTTTCGATTTGCGGTTTGAGCATTCCCGCGCGTATGTCTCACGACATGACAACGCTTTGCTTTGGAACTTGCGTGATCGACGCCGCAATATTTTAGGCATCCGGATGTGGTCCATGCGGTGCTACATCTTGCTCAATTGTCCCGATTTCCATACCCACCGATTCCATCGTATTCCCATGTGTACGGTTATGGTGCCAGGTTCTGCTATTGTGGTGTTGTTGGTATGCTTGTGAATTCTTGACGCTTCGCATTGTCCCATCGGCCCATTTAGAGCCTATGCCTAGGCGAGTTGACTTGATGAGCAAGCAGTGGATCAAAGTGGGGGTAAGCCGTCAAAACGAATCGAGTGAACTGCCTGGGCATATCAAGGAATCAACCATGCTTTTCGCGGATCTTTCTGTCAGGAGTCTCTTGGAGGTTTTTTAGGGACCATTTTGGGAGCAGTTTGGAAGCTTGTTCGGGGCGTTCCTGGAGCTTCCTTGGGGGCCTTTCGGGCCCTTTTTGGGGCCGTCTGGGAGGATCGTGTAAAAGAGGTGGTTGACTCAATTAGGGCTCTTCCGTCTCTTGGGGCCCTCGGGGCGCTCTTGGACGTTGTTGGGGCAGCCTTGGCGCCTTTTATAGCCCCCGCCTCGGGCTCCCCTGATCGATCCTGAAGACACCTTGATACTGCAAAGTCCAATCAGAAGCGAAAAGGTGAGAAGGGCCAGATCAACAGAGCACACTCGTTTTGGACCACTCAGTGCCGCTCGGGGGCGCCCTCGGGAGGCTCCGAGGCCACCCGGAGAAACGCTTGAAGCACGCCCGCAGCTTTGATCCATCTCGTGCCATCGTGGAGGCCATCGCAGGGCATGCTTGGCCATCCTGGTGCCATCTCGGCCCACAGGCATCCCAGTGAGCTCAGCCAAATGAGACAGCGGCGGTCCTCCCGCCCAGCCCGAATCTGTTCGAGGCCGGCTCCCAGACCCCCTCCTGGGGCCGACAAAGCGGATCGAGTCGATCAGAGCCGCCGAGCGGCGAATTGTTGTCAATAACCTTATTTGGTTCAATGGCTTTGCCGATCAAAAGAGGCGGACCCAATGAGACCCCCCCGTCGGAACCGAGCAATCGCCTCTTTGGGATTCGCTTTGGCGCTCTTGGGGCGGTCTTGACGTACTTCTGGCTCCCTCTTGACGCCCCCTTGCGATTTCGGAGGCATCTTGATGCCTCAGAAGCCCATCGCGAGCGAAGAGGTGAGACTACCCAAATCATTGAGCACCCTTTTGGTGTTTCAAAGATTTTGGCCTCTCGGGGGCGTCCTTGGGATGCCCCGTTGCCACTTGGAGCCGTCTTGGGTGCCTCGCGGGGCATCCTGGAAGCTTGCTCGCAAGCCGTCTTGAGAAACCTCGGGATATATTGTACACTCTTGGAGGACATATTCCAGCCTATGAGAAGCCCTCTTGGAGCCATCATCGGCTGCTACGGGTCGGGCCCTCACCTGTCCAGAACCAGGGTAGAGGTCAGAGTGAGGGGCCGACCGAAGGGGAATAAGGGGGTTGCAATCATAGTGACCCGAAGCCACCTGCGCTCAGAGGGCTGGTGGGAGACTCCTTGGCTTCTGTCCTTTCACCGCTGTGCCGCCCAGTGGATCCTATCCATGCTCCTCTCTCCCTTCTCCCCCCTTCCCCATCCCCTCATCCTCCTCATCCCTCCTCCAGCACCACCTGATCCTCCCTTCATCTCCGGCTTTCTCCTTCCCTCCTCCTGTCTCCCTCCTCCCCTTCTTGCTTCCTCCTCCTCCTCCTCCTCCTCCTCCTCCTCCACCTCCGTGCTCCTTCGTTCATGCACCGCTTCCTCCGCCCTCCCTCCTTCCCCCCCCACTTCCTCCCTCCTCCCCCTCCCTCCACCCTTCCTCTTCCTCCTTCGCCTCCCCCCCCCCTGGCTCCCTCCTCCTCCTCCTGGCTCCCCTCCCCCCCGCCCGTCTCCTGCCCTTGTCCCCTTCCGCCTGCCTGCCCCCTCCCCTGGCCTCCGCTCGAAACTGCGGGGCCACCCTCTTATCCTCCTCCTCCGCCTCTCCTCCTCCTCCTCCTCCCTCTCCTCCTCCTCCTCCTCACTCCTCCTCCTCCTCCTCCTCCTCCTCCTCCTCCCTATCCTCCTCTCCTCCTCCTCCTCCTCCTCCTCCTTCCTCACTCCTCCCTTCCTCCTCCTCCTCCTCCTCCTCCTCCTCCACTCCTCCTCCTCTTTCTCGTCCTCGTCCTCCTCCTCCTCCTGCTCCTCCCCTCCTACCTCCTCCCTCCTCCCTACCTCCCTCCTGCCCTCCCTCCCTCCTCCCTCCTCCCTCCCTCCTCCCTCCCTCCCTCCCTCCCTCCCTCCCCTCCTCCTCCTCTCTTCTCCTCCTCCTCCTCCTCCTCCTCCTCCTCCTCCTCTCCTCCTGCCTCCTGGCCTCCTGCCTCCTGCCTCCTGCCTCCTCCTCCTCCTCCTCCTCCTCCTTCTCCTCCTCCTCCTCTGCCCTCCTCCCCCTCCTCCTCCTCCTCCTATGCCCTCCTCCTCCTCCTCCTCCTTCCCTCCTTCTCCTGCCTCCTGCCGCCTGCCTCCTCCCTCCTCCCTCCTCCTCCTCCTCCTCTGCCCTCCTCCCTCCCTCCTCCCTCCCTCCTCCTCCCCCCCCCCGCTCTCGGGCGCCCGTCCCTTGCAGGAGCGCAAGACCCCCGCGTCGCAGAAGCGAAAGGCCAAGCGCAAGGCCGCCGGCGCCGGGCGCTCCCAGGGTGGTGTCGTCGTACCGTCGTGGGTCGGTTGGCCCAAAAGGGGGTTTCCCTCGGGGCTCCAGATATGGGGGCTCCCCTCGGGGCTCCAGATACGGGGGTGCCCCTCGGGGCTCCAGATACGGGGGTCCGTGCAAGCGGGGGTCAGTCAGAGCGCCGGATCTCGCAGGTTCCCGCAGGGCCAGGGCTGCACCGGCCCGGGCTTGGGTGCAGGATCCCGCAGGATCCTGCAGGGTCTTGCAGGACCCTGCGAGGCCAGACTGACCCGGGCTTGGATTGACCCGGGTCAGTCGATTCCCGCCCTCTGCACGGCTCCTTTTGTGTGGCCGTGGTACAGGTTCGGACGGGAGGGGGGGATGGCCTCAGAAGTTCGAGGTTCGAGGATCTAGGTTCGTTCTCTGGAGGTGTTTGGTCGTCACGGGGAGCCGTCGTGGTCGCGGCTGGATCCGCCTCGAGCTTCTGTGCAGGACGCACCCCAGGAAAGGTCCAGGGGGCCGATTTTTGACGACTGACCAGGGGAAGCATGATCGGTGGTTCAAAGATGGGGTCCTGAGGGATGGGGTCCTGAGGACGAGGTGCCTCAAATAGGTGCCCATCCCTCCGGGCCCCATCTTTGAAGCGCCGACCTTTGGGGGTGATAGGCTCACGGGGTATGTGCATCGGCCCCAAACGCCCACGGATCGCCGATATAGGACCCGATAATCAGCCCTCCCCGCCCAGGAACGTGTAGCTTTGCTATCGGAGGGCCTGTCGCCGATCTATCAGAGATGTATCGCCAGTTCCAGGTCTAGTTTCGCCCCTGCACCGGCCCCCCCCTGACGTTTATCCCCAGGGGGGAGAAGTGAAGGAGGGTTTGCGACATCTGCTGCGTGCGGCTGGTCTCTGACCTGCCGGTGGGCGCGCTCATCGATGCGCTGTCGCCTCTGGGTGCTAGGAAAACCAGCTACGTGAGTCATGTCGCTTACCCCCCTGTTACCGTAGGTTCGCGTCGTCTCGACTGGCGGTGACCTCGCCGTTCGACGTCGAACGCCGGCGGTGGCCCGGAATCGGTCGACGTGGAACGATCTGACGTTTCGGTTCACGGCCGATCGTTCGAGGCTGAACGATCCCCGCGGTGTCAGGAACCGACGCCGAAGTCGGCACGACACGAACCCGCCGTGCGTGAGTTGTGCCGCTTACCCCCCCGTTGGTCCCGCTCCCCGAGGAGGGAGGAGGGAGGAGGAGGAGGAGGAGGAGGAGGCGGAAGAGGAGGAGGAGGAGGAGGAGGAGGAGGAGAGGAGGAGGAGGAGGAGGAGGAGGAGGAGGATGGGAGGAGGGGATGAGGAGAGGAGGAGGAGGAGGAGGAGGAGCTCTTGGCTGCTTTGGGGCGCCTGCTTCGAGCAGGTGGAGTCCCTCCCCAATTGGACGCACCTGTTGCAAACAGTCGCACTAAGCAGAGGTCCGGCGCCAGACCCCCCTCTCTCTCTCTCTCCCCCCTTCCACCCGATGTCAAAACGCCGAAAAACAAAAGCGCTCACGTGGGGGTCCAGATGGTCCGAACCCGGAATTTCTACATGACCACCGCCCGCAGGATCAACTTCGGGGGCATCGGCAGGCGGTGGATATGGACATATTCGGGCCCCCGGGGGCCAAAGGTTATCCATATCTCGGGAGCCTCGAGACGGGGGTCAGTGCAAACGGGGGTCAGCCAGGGCGCCGGATCCTGCAGGATCCTGCGAAGGCCCCCTCTGGCTGACCCGGGTTAGGGAGCCGCTCGTGGCCGCGAGGCGGCCGCGCGTATTGGCTGACCCGGGTTTGCGAGGACCTGCGTTGCAGTTTTTTTTTCCTGCATTGCAGTTTTTGGTTTCCTGCTGACCCGGGTCTGGATTGACCCGGGTCAGAGGATCCCCGAATATCCACCGCCCGCTGGGGCACCAGGACGCCGGTTCCCAGGCGGTGGATATGGATAAATCCCCGCCTCGCATTGGGGGGGTCCAGAGGATCCGACTATAAGCGGATGTGGGCTGGGCGGGAGAGACAGCGCCGTTGTATCAATGGGCCTTCCTACGAGTGGTGGTGGTGGTCTTCATCCCAGCAGGACGGGGGCGGAGGGCGGAGGAGCGAGGAGGAGCGAGAGGGGAAAGTGAGGAAGGAGAAACTGAGTAGGAGTTATACTAGTACAAGCAGTGTTTTTTTTCAGCGTGGGCCCAAACATAACATTATCTTACACTGTGGATGTGTAAGCTATTTGGTGCAAGGTATGTGGTGTAAGCGATGTGGTACAGTATACGTGGTGCAAGCTAGAGGCGGCAACGAAGTGGCAGCGGGCATGGCGAAACTTCGCCGGACCCACCCAGGGCACGAGCTGGCAACGAGGCGGCAACGGGCGGCAACGTGGCGAAACCTTGCGTGACCCACCCAGCGCACGAGGCAGCCGCGAGGCGGCAATGAGCTGGCAATGGGCGGTAACGTGACGAAGCCTCGCTGGACCCACCCAGCACACGAGGCGGCCACGAGGCTCCAACGGGAGGCAATGTGGCGGAACCTCGCCAGACCCACCCAGCGCACGAGGTGGCAACGGGCGGCAACGTGGCGAAACCTCGCCGGACCCACCCAGCGCACGAGGCTCATCGTAAGCGGTCCCAAACCCGAAAAGGTTGAGAATTTCAATGTTTTTCAAAAACCTCAGGACGATCAACGGTTTTTGCCTCCTCGATCTCATGATGAGCGTCTTGGAGCCTTCTTGGGCCGTCTTGGGCGCCTCTTCGGATCCTCTTGAGGCCGTCTTGGGAGCCTCTTGATTGGTCTCGGGCCATCTTGGAACGTCTTGGTGGATTCTTGGTTGTCTTGGAGTTTATCCTGGCTGTTCGGAGGCCGGAAAGAGAGCAAATTCAGGGGGGGCGATTTCAGTGGGGTGCGTGCGAGTAGGGGGTTGTCGGCCCAAGAATATTGAGCAACCTTCCAGACAACAGAGAAGCAATCGAACACGCCAACTCCGTGCAGGCACGGTGGTGGATCAAGAGTTGTGACAAATGAGAGAGAGGAATCTTAGGTGTTACGATTCTTATCATGACGAGGTGGAGGAGGATGAGGAGGAGGTGGAGAAGGAGGAGGAGGAGGAGGAGGAGGAGGAACGAGGAGGAGTAAGAGGGAAGTAATGATGGAAGGAAGGAAGGACGGATGATGATGATGATGATGATGATGATGATGATGATGATGATGATGATGATGATGATGCTGATGATGATGATGATGATGATGATGATGATTATGATGATGATGATGATAATGATGATGACGACGACGATGATGATGAGGATGATGCTGATGATGATGATGATGATGATGATGATGATGATGATGATGATGATGATGATGATGATGATGATGCTGATGATGATGACTGAGGGGTAAAGCAGGGAGTGGAGGGGGGATGAGGAGGGAGGGAGGGGGAGGGAAGGTGGGATGAGGGAGGAAGGAGGAGGAATGGGATTGGGTGGGAGGGAGGGGGAGCAGGAGGAGGAGCAGAGGAGATGGAGGAGGAGGAGGCTCCAGGAGGAGGAGGAGGAAGAGTGAAGAGGAGTAGGAGGAGGAGGAGGAGTGGGAGTGGGAGTAGGAGGAGTAGGAGGAGGATGAGGGGGAGCAGGAGGAGGAGGAGGAGTGGCAGCCCGGCCTTCCGCTACTACTTGAAGGATCTGTGCAACAAGCGCATCAACGTGTACAGGTAGACGACCGCTTAGAGGGTCCACGCCACGGACAAGTTCATCGCAATCTTTACGAGACGGATATTGGCATGCGACCAGGAACAACCTACATCCTGGTTGTGAGACAGCCTTACGAGTCCGCTGTGCGGGTCCATTGCTGCACGCCCTATGGCCCCGACGAGGACGCTTACGTCGCGCTCGAGATGGACACATGGCTCCCTACGATCGGTGGTATCGAAAAGGCCACTGCGGCCAAACTGTACGGGCGGCAGTACGGTTTAGAACCTGACTAGTATACGCACACTAAGGTGTACACCATGAACTACAACAACGACGAGCGGAATCTGGAAAATCAGCGCTCAAGTTGAACTGCCATAATTTTCTCGTAGGCGATATCACGTACTTCTGTGCACCTCCTGGGCTCTCACGGCAAGCCAGTTGCACACGAGTGCTACATCAACCACGGCCTACCATTCCCGACAGGTACTTCTAACAGGCGCACCCAGCAGCTCCAGTACGGACATGCCAAGCGGGCGCGCGCCAGTATTGATGAGGACTACTAGGCAACATGGATAATCTTAGCAAGTTTGTGCATCGTTACTGACCTGGACAGCGCTGCGTACAAGCTATGCCATGTGCCACCGCGTGCAGCGCCACGGGCAGGGTGCGCCGCGTGCAACGTTACACGCAAGGCCCGCCGTCCACCGCGACTTCAGCTCGAGCCGCCGAGTGACCCCGCCGCCCTCCACCTCTCGTCCACACCGAGGTCTGCAGTTTCAGGGTGGTAAGGTGGCCGCCTCCCCCCCCTTCCCTTTCGGATCTGGTTCCCTGGCAGCGTCTGGGGGGCCCCGCGCGCACGCCGGACGGGCGGCCGTCCGCGGGGGACGGAAGGAGGAAGGACAGAGAGGAACCGGGCAGAGGAGCGAGGCTGTGGAACGTGGCGGGGGGGAAGGGTGTGGGAGAATCGGGCCGGGCGAAAGGGGGGGATTGGGAAAGGGGGGGTTACGACATTTGCTGCATGCAGCTGGTTTCGGCCCCACCGAGGGGCCCATTCCTCGATACATAGCCGCCTCCGGCGCCGGGAGGCGCCGGGAAAATCAGCTACGCGAGCTGATTCTCAAACCCCCCCTTTGCTATCCCCCCCTTTCGCCCGACCCGAGAGAACGGCAGAAACGTTGACCGCCAGCTCGGGGCCGACCCTGAACTGCTGCATCAGTGAGCCTGCCACGGTCGCCGTCGCGCGAGGCACAACACGTGTGAGCGATGCCGGGAAATCTGGTCGTTTTGCGCCAGCATTGGCGCGCAAGCGTCTCGCGTAAGGTCGCGCATCAGCGCCCTCGTTTCTAATGTGGAGTTCCGCGCTGGCGGCCCGAGTATCCCGCGCTGTAAGGTCGCTATGCCATTTCGCGTAAGACCCGCTTCTGTTCGTCGCTCGTACGGGTCTGTTAACGTTGAGATGCATGGACAGTCGTGATGCTGATGGTGGGATAGATGATGACGTGTATGGTTATGATGCTGGTGGCGGTTATGTTCAAGATGCGGATCGTTTCGGTCGGTCATGTTGATGATGCTGGTTGGTTATTTCCGACGCTCCCGTCGCTCTTTTTCGTTGCTTTCGTCGACCATGCCGTTCGCATGGTTGGTGTCTCTTGACTTGATATTTTGCGCAGTTGTTTGCGCACAGTCAGGAACATGCACACGCGCGCGTGCGTCCGCCCTTCCGTCCGGCCGCGCATACATAGTCTCAGCACGTACTTTGTGTGCGTGTGTATATATTTATTTGAATATGTACACGTATATGTATAAGTGCATTTATATGCATATGTGTTTATGTATATATATATGTACATACATATATATGCATATGTGTATATCGATGTAGCTAGTTATATATATATATGTACATTTGTAGATATGTAAGGTGTACGTATGTACATGTGTACGCATGTATTTGTTGGTTTATACGTATGTATGTATGCATTTCTGTATGTATGTATGTGTAGGTGAAGGTATAGGTGTAGGTGTATGTGTATGTGTATTTGTATGTGTATGTGTATGTGTGTGTGTATGTGTATGTGTGCGGGTATGTGTATGTGTATGCGTGGGTGTATGTACGTACGTACGTACGCACGTATGTATGTACGTATGTATGTATGATTGCATGTCTGTAATGTATGTATGTATGTATGTATGTATGTATGTATGTATGTATGTATGTATGCATGCATGCATGCATGCATGCATGCATGCATGCATGCATGCATGTATGTATGTGTATGTATGTATGCATGCATGCATGCATGCAGGCATGCATATGTATGTATGTATGTATCTATGCATGTATACATGTATGTGAGCATACATACATACACATATGTATGTAGGTGTGTATATATATATAATATATACGTATACATATGGAGATGTACACACATGTGTATATATACACACACACATATATATATATATATAATATATATATATATATATATTATATATATATGTGAAAATACGCCCCCCCGGGGAGCGTCCCACACCTCCGGAACGTCTGGGGGCAACTCCGGGTACCGCGCCCCAGGGCGTTCCAGGGAACCCCCAAAACGCTCCAGGTCGGCCCAAGACGCCCCCAAGGGGCCCCCAGGACGCGAAAGGACGGCGCAAGACGCTCCCAAGCAGCCCAAGACAGACTCCCGACTGCTTTCCAGGCTCCCGGGAGGCCTCCAAGAGGCCCCAACAGAGCTCCGAGAGGCGTCCCGGGAGCGCCCGAAGAGGCCCAAATCGGTAATTTCCATTAGTTATTTTGCAGTTTACGATTTTTTTCCCCCAAACCTAGCCCTGCTTATTTTTGCACAGCAGATAAAAGTAGGCTCCCAGCTCCATGGAAGGCAGATCCCAGGAAGCCTTCGAGGGCCCCAATTATCGAAAACCGGCAAGACATGATTTTGTGGTTTCCACATTTGCTTTTCTATACGCTTCCGAGGTTTGCGCAGGGACGTCAAGGTTTTTAGATGCACAAGGCACTTCAACAATGATATTCCATGCGTTAGCCTGTCGAGCCTAGCTAGAACTTGAGCGCGCGCGAAGCGCGCGATGTTTCTAGTGTATATGTATATGCCATGTCGGGAAGTACAACCCCCCGAGATCCCCGATCGTGAAATTGATGCATATTTTTCATATTATAAAGGACTTCCAGGACATCGTCCCGAACACTTGCTTGTCAACCTTAATATCCCCTGCAAGGGCAGAGCTGGGCAAGCTGCTTGATGCCTACGGTACGTTGTGGCGGCGCCTCTGAGAGTGTATGCAGATCGTGAAGGTTATTACGATGCTGGTGCTGGTAATGCTGATGATACTCTTCATTACAATGACGACGATGATGCGTGTGAATTGGATGATGCTAATGAAGCTGGCGCTGCCGACCATGACAACAAATATTACCATGCTGATTTTGAAGATGACGCTGCATGGCGGTGATCATGCAGATGATATTGATGCTGATGGCGCTGATGATTATGATGGCGACGACGATGCTGATGATGGCGATGCTGCTGCTGCTGATCATGGTGAACATGATTGTGATGATCATTCTGTTGGTGCCAACCAGACTGATGCTGACGATACAGCTGGTGCCGATGATGGTGGTGATGCCGACGATGCACACCATGGTTGTGGAAACCAGGCTGGCGCATGGATTTTTTTTCCCCGTCCATTTCTTTCCATCAGGGTGCAGCTCGTGGGAGGTTGGTTGTAGCATCGGCGCTGGTGTGTCCTCTATCCCGCTTCGTGCGGCTCTGTACAGCTTATTCCCGGGTTTGAACGGGCGCAATCCGCGATCTGTCTGCTTGTCTCAATGTCCTTTCAGTCTGGCGTAGTATCTAGATACATATTCTTTCTGGCAAAGGCCTCCCAGGAATTGCCTTGTATAACTTCCGCCTCCTTCGCTGTCTGCTCCATCCCTCCTCCTTCCCCTTCCTTCGCCTTGTTTTGGTCCTCCTGCTCCTCACGCTCCTTCCGCTCCAGTTCCTGCTGTCGCTGGTCGCTCTCGTCCCCCTTCCTCCTCCTTCCTCCTCCTTCCTCCTCCTCCTTTTTCTCCTGCTTATCCTTCTGCTCATTCGCCAACTCCTCTCCCCTCCTCTCTCCCTCCTCTGTACGCAGCTCCCCCTTTCCGATTGCGCATGACACGATGGCTTGTTTTTGTTTGACTTCCGGGTCACGCGTCGGTCGGCGGATGGAGAGCCAGTCCACGCACTCGGAAGCGATGGGAGGCAGGGTGGGATGTCAGATCTGCGGCGCGAGCGCACCTCGCCTGCCCCTGCCCTCTCCGCCCTGTCCCCCCTCCCTTTTCCCCGTTGGCTTGGCATCGCTCGGACGTGTGCATTTTTCCTTCGGCGAGGACCATCGAGGAGCATCCTTGATCATGTGGCGAAAAAGCCACGCACGAAACCGAAAAAAGCACACGGAATGGACGTCCGAGCGATGGCGAGTTCCCCCATTGGAGCCTGGGGATTGTAGCGTGGGGGGGATCGGTGTCTCTCACAAGACCTCGGCGCCCGCTCCGACTGCCTGCGGAGTACCAGTTGCTGCCGGATCGCTGCGTGCCGCCCCCTTCTGACAGGCCGCGGGCCTCCTCGGAGTCGCAATCCCAAGCAATCCTGCCCCCTCTTCTCTATCCTCTTCGCCTTCTTCTCTGGCCTCCTTGCCCCGCCATCTTGGCTCCATGGTCGCTGGCTTGAGCTTTTCTGCCCTCGTCGATGCTTGGTCGAGAACTCTCTGCTCGCCCTCCTCACCGCCTCCCCGCCGCCGGAGGCCGCAGCGGCCGCCAAGGAGAGGCCCCCGCCCGTGCCACAGACGCGTCCTGGCCGCCGCGCCCAGCAGGGCTTCCGCGCCGTCGTTCGTCCTCAGTTGCCGTCGCCGCCGCGGCCGTCGTCGTCGTCGCCGCCGCCGTCGTCGTCGTCGCCGCCGCCGTCGTCGTCGTCGTCGTCGTCGTCGTCGTCGTCGTCGTCGTCGTCGTCGTCCTCGTCGTCGTCGTTGTCGTCGCCGTCGTCGTCGTCGTCGTCGTCGTCGTCGGCGTCGTGGTCGTGGTCGTGGTCACGGTGGTGTTGTGGTGGTGGCGGTGATTGTGGTGATGCTGAGGATGATGATGGTGAAGATGCGGATGACGGTGATGTGGATGATCATTGTGGTAGTGGCGTGGATGAGAATTCTCATTCCACTGTGTTTCATACTGGTGAGTCTGATGGTGGCGATGCTGGCAGTGATGATGGTGTGATGATGGAGATTGTGGTTATCAGGGGGGTAATGATGCTGATGGTGCTGACGACGACTACAGGTGATGGTGGTTACGGTTAGGTGAAAGCGGGACATTTTTGGCGATGACGGCGCCAGCGATGACGATCATGAGGGTGGTCTGATAGGTGGTGGTGCTGGTGGGGATGATGTTGAGGATGATGATGGTGAGGAGGAGGAAGGTGAAAAGGAAGAGGAAGAGGAGGAGGAGGAAGAAGGATGAGGTGGAAGAGGAAGAGGAGGAGGAACAAGGAAGAGGAGGAGGAGGAGGAGGAGGAGGAGGAGGAAGAGGAGGAAGAGGAAGAGGAGAAGGAGGAAGAGGAAGAGGAGGAAGAGGAGGAGGAAGAGGAGGAAGAGGAAGAGGAGGAGGACTAAGGACGAGGAGGAGTGTGGCGGCGGCGGCCCTGCCGGCCCCGGTGGTTCGCGAGGACGGCGGCGGGGACGTTGCGCAGGCCCAGGAGGACCGCTGCTCTTCGCCGCCACCCCGCCCGCCAGGGCCGCTCTCGGTCAGATTCGAGCAGCTTCGAAATCGTAGACATCGAACAAGATGGCATGAGCATAATTTCTCGGAGGGTCGTGCGGTCTGGACGCCCGAAATGGGTACGGAAAGACTGGGTACAATGCCCGACAGCTGTTCCTGTGCATCTTGAACAGGATTCGCTGTCCGCGCCGCCGCGGCCCGTGTCCATTCGAGACAGAAGGCCGCTAGCCCAACAGCGGCCGCTGTTGGTTCGGGACAACATTTGCTGTTGGGCATTGTACCCCATTTAGTTACGTGCCCATTTCGGGCGTCCAAAAAGATTGCATGAGCATCATTTCTCGGAGGGTCGTGCTGGTTTCTGGGATCTGCGCTGGAACCCCCTGGCGGCGCCTCCGCCCCTGGCGCGGTCCGGCGGGGGGGGTTCAGCGCAGATCCAAGACATCCGCGCGGATCTCCAACAGTTTATGCTGATGCCGATATCCCTAAGGGCTTCGCCCCCTGCCGTCAGCCGGGATACATAAGAGCTATCTTCGGATGTCTTGGCGCCGTTTTGAAGACATTCTGATGCTGATGCCGATGGTGATGCTGATGATGCTGACGCTGATGCCGATGGTGATGGAGATCTTGCTCATGATACTGCTGCGGGCGCTGGTGCAGGTAAAGGCGAAACTGAGGATGATGATGCTGATGCTGATGAAGATTATGAATCTGATGATGATGACGATGATGATGCTGATGCTGATGATAATGCTGATGATGCTAATGATGCTGATGATGTTGAGGATGATGACGGTGACGGTGATGGTGATGATGCTGATGCTGATGTTGATGCTGTTAACGCTGATCTTGATGATGCTGATGGTGATGCAGATGCTGCAGGTGATGATGCTGATGGTGATGATGATAATACTGTTGCTGGTAGATGATGCTGATGATGCTGATAATGATGTTGCTGCTGATGATGCTGATGCTGCTGCTGATGATGATGACGATACCGAAGGTGCTGATGATGCTGCTGATGATGTTGATGCTGATGATGCTGCTGTCGATGATGATGATGCTGCTGATGATGATGATGAGGATGATGTTGATGATGATGCTGATGCTGATGAACATGATGCTGATGCTGATGATGATGGTGCTGAGGATGAAGATGATGCTGCTGCTGATGATGATGCTGATGATGCTGATGATGATGACGATGGCGATCATGATGATACTGTGATTGACGATGAATCTGATGTTGATGCTGCGTATGATGTTTCCACTGCAGAAAGTCGACGGGCTGTGCAAGGACTTGCAGCACCATGAGTCCATCCAGAACCGATGAGTTCATGATAAGGAGGAGGACGAGGGGTTTGGAGGAGGAGGAGGAAGATGAGGATGATGAGGAGGAGCAGGGAGGATACGAGAAGAGCAAGAACGGAATGTTCTAGGAAACGTGGCCTCTGGAGCGCGAAATTGGCGTAGTTCATTAAGGGTAGTGGCCTCAGGGGCGCGAATGTTGCGTAATTTACTATGGTGCACGGCCTGAGGAACGCGCACACCGTGTAATTCACAATGGACCGTAGCTTCGAGAACGCACATCCAGAGTAATTCGGAAGGGGTCGTAGGTTCGGGGACGCAGATGTTGCCACTTGCTTGCTTCGGAGCGTCTCCCGCAACGCATCGAACTCCTCGCTCTCCAAACCACGCGATTGCCAGCGAACGCAAATGACTTGGTTTGCTTACACAGCGAGCATCTGCCATGGTCCGCCCGATTCCATCACCGCCCCCCTGTTGAGTGTGATCAACAGTGCTTGCAGTACGATGGCTTCACCCACGCTTGGCGTTTCTGCCTGTGTCCACTGGCGGGCCCGCTGCCCCAAGAGGAAGACGGTGCCAGGGGCATTCCTTGGAGGGCTGATTCAGCGAAGTCGCTCTTGCTGAGAAAACTGTGCGGGCATACCCGCGCTGCATATACACACTGGAGAAATGTCATGGCGCCAACATCGCAGAGCTGATTTCGTTCGGAAAGCCATAGGGTGGGCCCGGGGTGTCCTGGAGAATTTCGTCCCCGATTTCGAGGTGAATTTATTGCGTTTTTTTGGGGGGCCAGAAATGAAGACCAAAAAGAATCCACGCGAAATTCACTTCGTTTTTCGCTCGCCGCTTCGGGCAAACATCCACGCAGAAATCCACGCCAAAATCCGCTGCAGCACGTCTGCAAGGCCGGTGCAATGAGAAATGGATGGGCAGCTTAGTCCTTGCGCCACAGAGCTCCTGGCCGTCGCTGGGCCCCCGAGCCACGCCACGGTCTTGAGCCATCATGGCTACGGACAGCAAACAAACGGGCAACGAGAAGGGAGGACGAAGGAAGAGGCCGAGGAGGAGGAGTAGGAGGAGGGAGGAAGACGGAGGGAGGGAGGAATGGGGGGGAGGAGGAATGTGTGGAGGGAGGAGGGATGGAGGAAGGGGGGAGGGGTCCTCCGTCTCTTCTCCCCCTCTTCCGCGCCCCTCATCCTCATCCTCTATCCTCTCTCTCCTCCCTTCTTCACTTCCTCTCGTTCCTCCCTCCTCCCTTCTTTTTCTCTTCATCCAGCTCCCTGCAGCTTGCAGCACCAGGGAAGTCTTCCTCACACGGCTCAACTAAAATAAACATATTTTGCCGCGAGTATGGCCAAACATAATGCTCATCCTGGAATGCTTCGATGTTCCAGCACGTGGCCTAACAGGGGTAGAGGAATGTATCAGGTGAAGGCCCATGTGAGCCCTGACGAAGAAGGTATTTCGCAGCAGCAAGGTGGTGCAGGGTAGACACTCAGCATGCCATAACATGCCGATTCTGGATCCAGCACCGCAGAAACGAAGCTCCAGCGTCGGATCAAGGGTGTCAAGCCTGTTTGTTCGTTCGCGCAAATGCTGCCCCCGCTGTGGTTTTTGTATTGCGTCGGCGGGACTCTAGCTGGTCAGGAATCGTGTGCGAAGCCAGCACGTGCTCGAAAGTCTCTGGGGTCCGGCTGGCATGACCTGCGCTTGTGATCTTGTGACCAGAAGTCAAACACGGCTAGGATCGGGATAAATCGCTCCAGAGCGTTCCGGAGCGCTCTCAGAGCGTTCCGGAACGCTCTGGAGCGGCCGCGGCGCGCCCAATACATCCTCCAAACCCGCCGATTCTCAGAGATTTCGAGTTATCCCGATCCGATTTTGTCCCGATCTTCGTGTCGTTGTAAGAAGTCATCTCGGGGCTGCTGTTGCAAGAAGTCCTCCTCGTCTCCCTCCTCCCTCCCGTCGCCATCCTCCTCCTCTTGCAGCAGGGCCCGTGGAGAAGGAGCCGTTTTCGTGGGGGAAGGGCTCAGTGTTCCTTGACCCGTTTTGCAGCCTGTCTGAGGTTTTTTGTTTAGGCCTTCGCGGGGAAATTAAAGTCTAACTCATGGGAAAAAAGGGGCCTCGTTCCTCATTTAGGCCTTCGCTGGGAAATCAAAGTCTAACTCGTGGGAAAAAAGGGACCTCGTTCCTTATATTCAGGGCTCCTTCTGGCAGTGCTTCGACCGTGGCCCAGCGCCGCTACCATGGCAACCGTGGCCGCTCCCCGGGGCTGCCCTCGTGGCGAGGCCGTCGCCCGCGCGCCCTGCTGGCGGGCTGCCTGCCCAGTCTGCCGCGCGCTCCCTCGTGGCGCCCCCCCCCCCTCGGGGGGGACGCCCGAGGCACGCTCGTGCCGTGCCCGCGGTCGAGTCAGCACACCCTCAGGAGGGGAAGCAACACACAGACACAATTCATCGTCGATTCCCAGGAGAACATGGAAAAATACGGGAAGTGGGGGGGAAGACTAACACCTAGAACATATGGGGAAATATGGGGAATCCTTTTATTTGTGTGTATTTACCTCTGTGTCTCAGGGCCCCTTCACGCCCGCCGTCCTCACCTTCGCCTGGCCTCCCAGTCCGACGATCGCCGCTCTCCCCCGACCTCTCCCAGGGCGCACTCCGGCCAGAGCCTCGGGGAGACTCCGCGGCCGTGGCGACGAGGGCCCTCCAGCGCGAGCAGCGGCATTGGTACCGGTCCCTCCTTCCTACAGTGCCGTTTTTAATAATGCCCCACAGTGCCGTTAAACATCCTAAGTTTTTCAAAATCCTATGTATTAAAAACTGCCCTGTAGAACTCCGACGTCGTGTCTTTTGTTGTTGGTGTTCCCCCCCTCCCCCCCCTCAACGTCGACTCCTCTCCCGGGCCGCACTCAGGCCAGAATCTCGGGGAGATTCCGGCCGTGGCGCCGAGGGCCCTCCTGCGCGCGCAGCGGCACTGGCACCCGCCCCTCCTCCCTATAGAACTCCGACGTCGTGTTCTTTTGTTGTTGGTGCTTCCCCCCCCCCCTCAACGTCGATCAGGAGGGGAAGAAACACACAGACACAATTAATCGTCGATCCCCAGGAAAATATGGGAACATATGGGAAGTGGGGGGGAAGACAAAAACCCAGAAAATATGTGAAAATATGGGGAATCTTTTTATTTGTGTTTTTTTTGTGTTTGTGGGCCCCTTCAGTCGACTCCTCTCCTGGGGCGCACTCTGGCCAGAGTCTCGGGGAGACCTCCCGCCGTGGCGCCGAGGGCCCTCCGGCGCGAGCAGCGGCATCGGCACCTGTCCCTCCTCCGTCGTCCCCTCCCCCCCCCGCTGGTATCTGTCCCTCCTCCGTCGTCCCCTCCCCCCCCCGCTCCTCCCCAGAACTCCGACGCCGTGCTTTTTCGTTGTTTCCCCCCCCCCCCCCCCCCCCCCCCCTCCCCCCCCCCCGCAACGTGGACTCCCAGGGGCTCGGACCCGTGGGGGCACCCCTGAGGAAGGAAGCGGTCCGCCGTGGATCTTTTGCGCGGCGAGAGGACGGGGGGGCCCTGCCTTCTGCCCCTCCGCCGCCCCCGCCGCCCCATGGTGCCCAGGAGCTTCCCTGCCATTCCAGACTGGTGGAGCCGGTTTCGAAGGCCGGCCTGGTTTCTCCGTCTTCTTCCCCACGTTGCGACCGCTCTCATTGCCGTTGAGTTCTTCCCATGGCACCGCCGCCCCCATTTCGGCACACCCCTCACACGTATCCTGGCCCCACACTACGCAGGGAGCTCCACCTACGGCCCCAGTGGGAAAGTCCGCATGGCACCGCCGCCCCTATTTCGGCACCCCTCACGCGTTTCGTGGTCCCACAGGGGGCTCCACCTACGGCCCCAGTGGAAAAGTTCGCATGGCACCGCCGCCCCTATTTCGGCACACCCCTCACGCGTTTCGTGGCCCCAGAAGGAGCTCTACGGAAGGCCCCAGTGGGAAAGTTCGCAAGGCACCGCCGCCCCTATTTCGGCACACCCCTCACACGCTTCGTGGCCCCATAAGGAACTCCACGGAAGACCCGAATGGCGACGTTCGCATGCGTCCGCCCGACTCATGTCGGCACACACCTTCACACGTTTCGTGGCAGAAGGCTATACCGCGTGCGCTACTCGGAGTTTGTGCGCCCCCTCCTCCTTCGTCTCATCTCCCTTGCGGGTACTCGCAGCTGCATATGGTTGGGTCCTTCGTCAGGCTAATTCGACGATGCCCCGTGCGGAACGTATATCCGAATCCAGACCGCGAGGGCGCGAACACGACTAGGTTCGCCGCTTGTGGAGAAGGGGCAGCGGATCTCTCGATCTCATGTTCCTGGTTGTTTTCCCTGCCATAAAACTCGGCGGCGAACGAGGGTGGGTGGGGGGGAAGCGAGAAGGAGAAGGCCTTCTCAGAAGGCGGCGGGACTTCTCAGAAGCCCTCGCGCCTCCCCAGATTTTTTTTTGCTTGTGCCCTCGGGGAAGGACCAGAAAGCGTCTCGGAAGGCTGGTAGACTTCCGAACCTTCTGAGCAGGCCTCCTCCTTCTCGCTTCCCCCCTCGCACTCCTCCTCCTCCTCCTCCTCCTCCTCCTCCTCCTCCTCCGTCCTCCTCTCCTCCTCCTTCTCCTCCCCCCTCCCTCCTCCCTCCTTTCCTCCTCCTCCTCCTCCTCCTCCTCCTCCTCCTCCTCCTCCTCCTACCTCTTCTCCTCCTCCTCCTCCTCCTCCTCCTCCTCCTCCTCCTCCTCCTCCTCCTCTTGCATGACCCATTGCATGGAGGAGGTATCCGAATTCCTCGCGACGGAGCCTTTCCGCGCCCTCTTCGAGGACATGACGCCAGAAGGGGCCTGGCGCATGAGGCAGAGGAGGGCCAGAGAACTGTGCGAGGAGGTTTGGCTGCGCGGCCGTCCAGCGGGGATGGCGGCCGATCAGCATACGCCCTGGTTCCCGCCACCCCCGACGGTCCAGGTCGAGGAGCCGACCGCCGTCCAGAGCTGCCGGCCGCAGGGCGCCACCGTCTCCCTCGCCCTCCCCGCCCGCTGGGCTGCAGGACGGGCCGGCGCAGCTGACCATGCACGGCAGGTCGGCAGCTGCGGCGGCTGCCCCGTCTGTTGGACTGCCTCCCCGCCGGCGTCGTGTGGATCCGGCTGCTGGGGCGCCCGTGGGCCCGCCGAGCGCCACGGGCCTGCGGCCCTGCCCGTGGGCCGCCGCTGGCGTCGCCGAGCGCGCGCCCGCGCGGTCGTGCCGCGACGTGGCGGCCTGAAAGAGCTCGGAAAGAGCTCCTCCTCTGAGACATTGAACTGAATGGGTGAGAGCGAAGCTCCTCTCCTCCTCCTCCTCCTCCTCCTCCTCCTCCTCCTCCTCCTCCTCCTCTCCTCCTCCGCCTCCGCCTTCTCCTCCTCTTCCTCCGCCTCCTTCTCCTCTTCCTCTCTGTCTCCCTTCCTCCTTTGGTATGGCCGGTTGTTGTGCCGTTGCTGCGTCGTCGCGCTTTTCCAGGCTGCGCAAGGCTTGCCGGTATCGGTTTCGCGGTCGGGTCGGCTGGCCTTCGGCAGCTCCGTCGCCGTGGACGGCCTTATTGCTGATGGATCGTCGCTTTTCGTGGGGGGTGTAGCCTGGATCCGTGGGTCCTCCACTGATCGTTTCGAATGTTCTGATGTTCCAGCCTACTTTAGCCGTGATCACCAGAAATAATTTCGAGCACCAACACTGTACCGAAACTCGAGGGCTTCCCCGTGTCGGGCCCTGGGGGGCACTCGCCCGACACTGTTTCGACCCTGTTTCGACACCCTCTCGACACTTTTCCGGGCGATCAACATTATTATTGGGATGTGGTCCTTAAATACGATGGGAGCAACATAAGTTGAATGGTGTACATGACGTTGTTGGATCGTCAGTATCTCCCCAACCCCAGTGTGGGGAGCCAGTCTGTTGTAGTGGTTCGTCCTCCCTGAGGCTACTAGACCTTGCAAGGTATTCCGTGCAGCGGACCAGTCCCACAGTCAATTCTTCGTGGGACGGAGCTCGGCAATATCATATCAAGTGCAGTGTTTCCATTTGCGCAGCGCGGAAACCCAACATCGTCTCTGTGCGGGCAGCAACTCTAGGACTTCCGTTGTTTGTTGTCCTAAAAACGTCCTGCTCCTTCAGCCGTGTGTTGCGGTATTGCTATAACATTCATCCCGGCCTGTGACGACCGGCTTTAGGAGGCACGCCTCCCGGCTGCTTGCGCAGAGAACTCGGTCCTGAGTTCCAGTCGGACGCAGTTCGCGACAGCCGAGCCACGAGCAACAAAGTCAGTCACTTGAGCCCCCGATCGTCCCCAGCATCATCGCACGTTTTTTTGGTTGTCTCGGCGCAGTTCCTGTATTTGTTCTGGCCCGCGTGGTCACGGGCACGCTGCGCATCCGAACCTACCTGTTTTGGGACACATTTGTTTCGCGTTTCTCGGCTCACGGGGCGCCTCATGTGCACAAGCCCTATACAACCCCCATTTGGGCGCCAGCACTTTGCGAACCTGGGCTTGTGTGAGCATGGCGACTGTACGAGCAACAGGGCGCCCCTGGGGCCCCCACGTGCTGTCCTGAGATTCGCTGCGGTCTCCTGGGGATTGGCGCTGCCTGTGCCCTCCTAGGGCCTCCTGGGGCTTTCTCGGGCAGGCCTCATGTGCTTGCACAGCTCTGTGGGACCGTAGCGCTTGTGTGTGACCGCTGCTCCTCCTCTTCCCTCTCCACCCCCTCCGATTCCCCCATTCTGCCTCTCCTCCCCCCGCCCTCTCCCTCTTCAGCCTCCACCTATTTGCTTCTCATTGCCCCCCCCCTCCTCGTGCCTCGTCCTCCTGCGTTCTCCTCCTGCTCCTGTCCTCCTGTCGCCTTCCCCTGCTCCTGCCTGCCGCCTCCTAGAGTCAGTCCTCCTCCCGTGTTGCCCTCCGCCCAGGCGGATGGTGAGAAGCAGGGTACTCCGATGCAGGCTCACGCGCGGCGCGGGCTGGTCAGGGACGCGCGCGCGCGGTGCGCGTTTTTTTTTTTTTTTTTTTTTTTTTTTTTTTTTTTTTTTTTTTTTTTTTTTTTTTTTTTTTTTTATTATATATATATATATATATATATATATATATATATATATATATATGGTGTGTGTGTGTGTGTGTGTGTGTGTATGTGAATGTGTGTGTGTGTGTGTGTGTGTGTGTCCTGCCTCCGCTCTTTCGTCGGATCGTTGCTGTCGCACCCCTCTTCTCTTCTGCCAGTCTCGGGTTCGCCCGTGTCCCCGGGCGTCGCCTGTTCTGCCTCCCTGCTGTGTTCTCCTGGGGCGCTGGCACTGGTCGCGCTGCACCCGCCTTCTACCGCCTCAGTCTGGCCCCAGGCGGGCCCTTGGCGTCGCTGCATGCGCCCCGCTGCCGTGCACACTCTTTCTGAACGCGCAACCCTTCTTCTTCCAGTTGCCTCCCTTGACACGTGCTCGTCCTGTCAACGCCCTCGCTGAGTTGAACGGCCAGGTCCCGAAGTACACAATTGTGTGTCCTGCCCGCCCAGCCGCCTGGACCGACCCGCTTGTCCAGGCTTAAATCGGACCTGTCCCGCTACAGGAGGAATGTTCAAAAATAGTACAAAAGTATGGCGACGATTTTTCGATTCTTTTGAACATATTTTTTGACTATTTGTAATTTTTCGCCCCAGATCCGCCTGTAGGGGAACATGCCCGACCAAAGTTTAGGCGCCCGCGAAGGTCTCCTCGCGGAGGCTGCCCGCCCTCCATCCCCGTGACCTGGACCCTGTGGGGCGCAGTGTGTCGCGAGGTGTTGGCATTCAGCGGTGTGGCCATCTCATCTGTGCACGTGTACATTTCGGTCTCTCGTGTCCCCGAGCGTGCGTCGCACGACTGTGATTCTGCATCTCGCGTGGAACTTGTTTTTGTTTTGTTTTTATTTCTTTTGTTTTTCCACGCCCGCATGTTCGGTTGCAGGGCAGGTGTCTGGCAGGATCGGCCAGTCATGTCAGCTTGTGCTTAACAAAGGGGTGCCCCCCCGGCCAATGAATAGGCCCCACGTTATATATGAGAGAGCGTGATCCACCGCCGCTTTACTGTGGAAAATTGCCAACTTTTTCCTCCGGAACCCGGGGGTCGCCCCCCCCCCCCCTTCCGAAAATCCCCCCCCCCCCCTGCTGGAACCCCTCCCCCCCCCGCCCCCCCCTCTCCCCTGGCAAACCCCCCCCCCCCCCCCTAACCCCTCCCCCCCCACCCCCCCCCCTCCCGCTCGAAAACCGGGGGGGGTCACTACACCCGGTTCGAACCCCTCCCCTCCCCCCCCCCTCCGGATCCGGAAAACCAGGGGGGGTCACTACCGGTTCGAACCCCTCCCCCCCCCCCCCTTACCCTTCGGATCCGGAAAACCGGAGGGGGTCACTACCGGTTCGAACCCCCCCCCCCTACTCACCGCCAGCAAACGACTCCCGGTCCCCACCACCGTCCGCATCACATCCCCCACTGGTGTTCCCAGCACCACTGTCCTCACCACCGCTGTCCCCACTGGTTCCACCACCGCCCCTACTGTCCCCACCAGTGGCCCCACCACTGTCGCACTGTCCCCGCTGTCCCCAGAACTGTTCCCACCACGGTTCCACTCTCCCCACTGTCTCCACGGCCCCAACCACTGCCCGACTATCCCCACTGTCCCCACTGTCCCACTGACTCCTCCGCTGTCCCACTGAGCTGTCCCACTGTTCCCACCACTGTCCCCACTGTCCCCACCACTGTCCCCACTGTACCTCTGTCCCATTGTCCCACCGCCGTCCTCGCCACCGCCTTCACCACTGTCCCCACCACCATTGTACCCTCCACTGTCCCACTGTTTCCACCTCATTCCCATTGTCCCCACACCACTGTCCCCACCACCACCGTCACCACCACTGTCCACTGTCCCCCCCTGTTCCCACCATTGTCCCCACCACTGTCCCCACCACTACCGTCCCCACCACTGTCCCACTGTCCCACTGTCCCCACCACTGTCCCGCTATCCCCTCACCACTGTCCCCACCAACACCGTCCCCACCACTGTCCGCACCCCCACTCGGTTTTCGAGGGGGGGGGGGGGTTCGAACCGGTAGTGACCCCCCCCGGTTTTCGAGGGGGGGGGGGGGGGGGGGGTTCGAACCGGTAGTGACCCCACCCCTTTTTCAGGATGAGCTTGGGGGGGGGGGAAGGGGTTCGAACCGGTAGTGACCGCCCCCTGTTTTCCGGTGGGGGGGGGGGAGGGGTTCGAACCGGTAGTGCCCCCCCCGGTTTTCCGCCAGCAGCGGTAGAACACGCTCATTCTTATATATATATATATATACATATAAATGAATATAGACACACATATATATATATATATATGTATATATACATATATATGTATGTACGTATGTATGTATGTATGCATGTATGCATGCATGCATGCATGTATGTATGTATGTACGTATGTACATATATATGTATATATATATATATATATATATATATCTGTATAGGTCTGTCTGCCTGTCTGTCTGTCTGTGTGTATGTATGTATGTATGTATGTATGTATATATGTATGTATGTATGTATGGATGCATGCATGCACGCATGCATGCATGCATGCATGTATGTATGTATGTATGTATGTATGTATGTATGTGTGTGTGTGTGTGTCTGTCTGTCTGTCTGTCTGTCTGTCTGTCTGTCTGTCTGTACGTATGTATGTATGTAGGTATGTACGTATGTATGTATGGATGGATGGATGGATGGATGGATGGATGGATGGATGGATGTATGTATGTATGTATGTATGTATATATATGTATATATATGTATATATGTAATCGCGCGCGCCAGAGGGCAAGTAGCGACCGAGGGCGACCTCCAGGTTCCAGGGTCCACTTCCTTCAGAGCACGTTTCCGCCGTGGCGAACGACGGAAAGCCCCAGGGAAGAAAAGGGCGGTTGCGAAACCTGCTGCGCGCAGCTGGTTTCGGTCGCCCCGCCGAGGGGCCAGTCCTCGACGCATGGCCGCTTTCGGCGCCAGGAGGCGCCCGGAAAATCAGCGACGTGAGCTGCTTGGCAAATCCCCACTTTGCCACGCCCCCCTTTCGTCCAGCCCGCCTTGCCCGCAGGCCCGCGGGGCAGTTGTCGCCACCCTGGCGCATCGGTTCGACAGAAAAGAGGGGCGCCCTGGCTCGCCGCTGCCTCCCGCCCCCCCCCGAGTCTGTGCTGTCTGTCGCCTTCTCGCTGGCGGCTGGGCGTCGGCGTTGATCACCTGTGCCGCTGCCGTTGATTTTCAATCTGGCGGGCGCCACCCCGCGATTTGCTCGAACACGGAATTTTTATAGATAAAAAATATGTTTGTTGTTATTTTCCCCATATATTTGTATGTATGTTATGTTTAATATGTATAAGGTATGTTTCACATATGTGTATGTATGTATGTATGTATGTATGTATGTATGTATGTATGTATGTATGTATGTATGTATGTATGTGTGTGTGTCTGTCTGTCTGTCTGTCTGTCTGTCTGTCTGTCTGTCTGTCTGTCTGTCTGTCTGTCTGTCTGTCTGTCTGTCTGTCTGTCTGTCTGTATATATATATATATACATATATATATATAGTAAGAAATAACTAATATAAACACTTCAAAAAACAGCGCGCGCCCACCACGGATTTGTTATTCACAGGGTGACATTATGCTCATATCAGTGGTGGGGATTTCTTTGACAGGTGCCCATTGTTTTCGTGCGTTTGCTTCCCCTGGCTTCATCAACTCCTGGATGGGCCTCGCGTGTGTTCCCACATGGTGGGCCCCTTCCGAGCGTTCATGGGATGTTGGGCTGCCAGGCGGCTGGCATGCAGGGAGCGAGCTCTGCGAAATCAGCTCGATTTGGGATTCTGTGTCTCCCCACGGATTTCGCGCGAGAGTTTTGTAGTGGGTGGTGCGCCCGCGACTTTCTCTCACTGCTGGTGCTATGGGATGACGGCCTCACGGTGAGGATCGGCGGTTTCCCACTTTCGCCCGGCTGCCCGCGCGGGCCTGTCCGCCTGGGCTGCGCCCCGACCTCTTCGATTTTCGTCGCCCGCAGCCTTCCGCCGCTGCCCTCCCAGGGCGCCCGGCGCCTGCTGCCCTGTTCTGCCCCCCAGGCGCCGGATGGTTTTCGGCTCCCCCCCCCTCCCGCGGATTTCAACAATTTGAAGTAGGAGGCGGAAGGCAGGACTGTAACATTGGAGACTTGAAACTGAAAGTGGTGCACGGCATTGAAACCAACTCCTCGCAGCTTGATGGCGCCACACGGGGGCCAGCGGATTTTCTGATGAGGTTAATATCGGTAATGTTTATCTTGATGGTGGGATGACAAGGATTACTTGAAGGACGACGATGTTTAGGATGATGGTACTACGAATAATGAAGATTTGGGTTTTCATTGTATCGGTCCTCGCGGTGACTGCGAGGCAGTGTGTCGATATGACAACCACGATGTGCAGTAGGCGCGCGTAGTATGAAGGGGTGTGGTCATTAGGACGGGGAGGCAGATGATAGTGTGGCGATATTGATAATGAGTATGATGATGATACTGATGATGATGCTGATGACGATGCTGATGCTGCTGATGATGATGCTTCTTATGCTGACGCTGATGTTGATGTTGACGTTGATGTTAATGTTATTGTTGATCGTGCTGGTTATCATTATGATGATGCTGATTCTGCTGATTAATATCATTAAGGTGGCGCGGTGATGGATACGAATGTTGAACATGTGGGGACGATTTGCATGTGATGTAACCGTGTGCTGATGAGACGGGTAATGATAACGAGGGTATGTATCAGGAGTATGGCGGCCAAGAATGCTGCGGACTGTATGGCGAAGGAGGAGTTGGATGAGCAGGATGGTGACGCTGTTTGATGATAAGGAGGAGGGGTGGGCGGCAGAGGATGACAAGGCTGATGCGTAGGGCTAGCAATTTGGTGGAATACGTGTCACCTCACTTTGGCTTTGAGTTTGACGTGCTTGGTCTGGTTGTAGCAATGAAAGAGAAGCGCCTGCTGTTCAGATCTGTCGGTCAGGAAAGCAGGAGGCAGCAGGGCAATGCGCGCTTGCCCTTTCTTACGATATCTGAAGCGATTCATTTCGTCGGCGGGAGGGGGGTGGCGGCATGCCGGAGTGAACCGAGGTGTTCCCCTCCCCCGCTGCGAAGCCGATCTCGGTCTGTGCCGGGCTTGCGGCCGAGGCGGAGCTGTGCGAGAGCCTGCTCTCGTCAAGCGCATCTCCTCCTCCTCCTCCTCCACTTCTTCCTCCTCCTCCTCCCCATCCTCCGCCTCCTCCGCCTCCTCCTCCTCCTCCACCTCCTCCGCCTCCTCCCCCTCCTCCCCCTCCTCCCTCCTCCTCCCCCCTCCTCCTGTCATCTGCGCCCCCCCCGCCCCCCCCTGTGCCCGCTGCTGGCCTGTGTACGGGCTGTCCCTCCGTGGTGGCGCGGCCCTGCGGCCGCGCCGGCGCGCGCGCGCGTCCGCGCGCAGATGGGCCAGCTGGTTTTGCGTGGCCGGATGTGGTGCAAGTGATGTGTCCAGGTCAAGGGTACCCCTGCTTCTTAGAAGGCGCGGGCCTTCTTAGAAACAGGGCTTCTCAGAAGCACCCCCTGCTTCTTAGAAGGCGCGGGCCTCATCTACGGATGTATGGCCCGCGCCTTCTGAGGAGCAGCCTCCTTCTAAGAAACCCTCCCCCTGCCCCCACCCGCTCGTGCGCGCCGCCAAAGACGGGGTTGGACGATCTGGCTGAAGCCCGAAGGTTTTTCCATGATTTCAGCGAGTGCTCGCGGGCAAAATCTGGGATGTAGGTTACCGTCGGCCCTGATTAGTAGGTCGAGCCTGCCAAGTCAAGGGTACCCTTGTGTCCTGCGTCTCGCGACCCATGCCTCCTACATTCCTATGGCAGTGTGCCCCTCGGAAAGGGTCTTTTGTCCTCTCGCGTGTCCTCTCCAATCAAGTCCGACTGTATGCCGTATGTTATGTTGGGTCGCTCCGGGGACTTGTGGGTGGGTCCGATGTCAACATCTGCGCGCGTGTTTTTTTGTTGTTGCTGCACTGGGCGAGTGCAGCATAATCTCTCTGGACAAACGAGTGTGCGTGCATGTTTTGCTTGACGGGATGTGGTTCAAACTATGTGGTATAATATTCTGGGGTGGACAGACCTCCTACCCTGACACGTCGATTAGCGAATTTGCCGTTTTCGGCTCGCGAGAGGGCGCCGCGGCCGTCATTTTTGCGGGTCCAGGTCCGTCGGTTTCGGTCCCAGGCCGTTTTCACCAAGGGGAGGTTTTTTAAAGGGAGCTTTGTCCACCGCCGACGGTGCACGCTCTGTGGTGCAAGCTATGTGATGCAAACTCTGTCCCACGGGAAATGCAGATCCCCCCACCGCCTCTTCATCTGTCTCCCGCTGCTCCCGCTGCTGCTGCTGCTCCTCCTCGTCCCTCCTGCCCCTCCTGCCCATTTCTCCTCCTCGTCCACCTCCTCCCCCTCCTCTCTCTCCCCCCCTCCTCCCTCAGGCCCCCCCTCCTCTCTGCGAGTCCTCCTCGTCCTTCTCCTGGATGCTCGACGCTGCTTCGCCGCGAGCCTCTTGCCGTCCTCGCGATCGCCGTGGTGGTCGTTGTGACTGTCGCCGCGGGCGTCGTGCTCGTGGTCGTCGTGGTCGTCTCGGGCGTCGTCAACGTCGTCGTCGTCGTCGCCCTCGCTGCCGTCGTCATCGCCGCATCTTCCGCCGCCCCAGCGCCGCCGCCAACGCAGCGCCGCCCCGAGGCCGAGCGCCAGGGCGCCGGCCCCAAGCGCGAGAAATCCCCCGAGGCGACGCCGGAGGCTCCTCCCCCGCCGCCCGCCGCCGCCTCCTGGGGGGGGGAGGCGTGCGCCTCGGAGCGACGAGGCCACCGACCCAGAGTTTTCTTTTCGTTTTAAAAAATGAATGATATATTTTTGTTCTTTGTATTGTGTATATATATATATATATAGCAAACGAAAATTTCTTGTTTGATTCAATTATGTATTTCTATCTTCTTCTTCTTCTACTTCTTCTTTTTCTTCTTTTCGTATTATGTCATAATTGCCAGATAATTCTCAATCCGGGTGCTTCCCCTTGCCGTCGGCGCGCGCCGCCGCTGCTCGACCGCCCTCTGACCCTCCTGCGGCCGGTGTCCAAACGCTTTCCCTCGAGTCCAGAGCCTTTTCGGTGCACCGGACTCGGGTGCCTGAGGCCGCGTGCGCACCTCTCGTGGCGGAGATTCCCTACGCCGGGGGGCCTCCTGACGTTCCTCCTCCGCTACCGTTATGTCGGGCCTGTCCCTCTTCAGGAGGTATATTCCAAAGTATTACTGAGCCTGGGGCCCGCTGTTGGACCCTGGGCCTGCGGCCCGCCGTGGAATCATGAGACATGAGGAGGAGGAGGAGGAGGAGGAGGAGAGAGAGAGGAGGAGGAGGAGGAGAGGAGGAGGCGGAGGAGGGAGGAGGAGGAGGAGGAATATTGAGCAGGGACGAGAGACTGACCCTGTGCAGTGGGTCGGGCCCTCTGAGGCCGCGGGCTGAACACAAGTCAGACCAATGGCTGTCAGGGGCCACCGCGCTGGAGACCCGTCCTTCTCCTCCTCCTCCTCCTCCTCCTCCTCCCTCCTCCTCCTCCTTCTCCTCCCCCTCCACAATTACTCAATATGAATACTACTCTCCCTCTTCCCCTGATGACGGTCTGAAAGTATTAGCCCCCCCCCCCCCCCCCGCGTATGTTTTTTAACACAGGATTCCCCGGAGTTGGGTTTTCGCCTGCATTTTTTTCCAAAATGCTGCTCTCGCTGAGGCGCCGGCCTCATTTTCGGGCCCCGCTCGTTCCGAATCGTGCTCCCGCTGCAGCGCTGGCCTCATTTCCGTGCTTCCGCTAGTTCCGAATCGTGCTCCCGCTGAAGCGCTGGCCTCATTTCCGCGCTTCGCTCGTTCCGACTCGTGCTCCCGCTGCAGCGCTGGCGTCATTTCCCGTGCCATGCCACGGCATGCAATGCAATGCTACGTTGATACTACGCTTTGCGGTGCTCTTCTACGCCATGCCATGCCGTGCTCTACAATACATCGCGTACCCTTTCGGGATCATTGCCCTGCTCGACATCCGACTGTGCGAGTAGAGAGGGGATCTACGCCATGGTAAGGGATGGGAGGGAGGGGTAGAATGTCAGATATGACGCGAGCGCACCTAGCTTGCCCTCCTCCCCCTCCCCCACCTCCTCCTCCTCCTCCTCCTCCTCCTCCTCCTCCTCCTCCTCCTCCCCCATCCTCCTCCTCCTCCTCCTCCTCCTCGTCCTCGGTAGCCTGCGGTTCCGGGGGAAACCGTGCACACCGCGCAACGCCCCCGTTGACGCTCCAGAAGCCTCGGCCCTTCTTTGCGGGCCTCCCAGGTGGGGTCGGAGCGCCTGTTTCGAGCAGGTGGGGCCCCTCCCCCATGGGACGCACTGTTGCAAACAGTCGCACTAAGCAGAGGTCCAGAGCCTGACCCCCTGGCCCTCCCCCCCTTCCGCCCAGTGTCGGAACGCCGAATACAAAATGTTCACCATTTTGGCCCAAGTGTTGTCCATTGAAGCTGCCACATTCCGCGGCAGTCTTTCTGCAGCTCTCCTCCAAGCCACCCGCCTGTCCATATATATATATATATACACATTGTAGTGGCCTCTGGCCAGTGCCGCCGATCCGGGGCGCTCCTGATGCTCTTGTTGCTGAAATGGACGATGACAACGACAACAGACGACCAACGGTCGACGAGCGGGATAATTACGACGACGACCGACGAAGGAATTAATGACGACGAACCGACGGCGACGACGACGACGACGACGACGACGACGACGACGACGACGACGACGACGACGACGACGACGACGACGACTGACGGCGAACAGCTGCCGACGGCCGACGACCGACGACTAGTGACGGCGACTGGTGGAAGGTTCTTCGTTCATCGCTGTCGCTTCCGAGCAATACCAAGTGAGGCCGTGCACCTCTGGCCTGGCAGCACGCGAGTGAGCGCCTCTTGGGGGCCTTTTGGTTCTTGGGGCTTCTTGGGGGCCTTTGGGGCCTCTTCGGGGCCTCTCGGGGTCCTCTTGGGGGCCTCTTGGGGATCTCTCGGGGTCCTCTTGGGGGCCTCTTGGGGACCTCTCGGGGGCCTCTGGAGGCCCCTTGGGGGCGCCTCGGGGGCATCTTGGGGGCTCTTGGGGTCATCTTGGGGTGGAGGACTCGAAGGGTCCGTTCGGATTCACCCTCTTGAGGCCATCTTGGGGGCCTCTCGGGGTCGTCTGGGGTTATATTGGGGCCCTCTTGGACCGTCTTGGCTCCTCTTGGGGGCCTCTTGGGCTGTCTTGGGGCGATCTTGAGGGCCTCTTAGACCGTCTTCGGCGCTTCTAAGACGGAGAAGGCGATAATGTTACAATGCTTCCAAACCTATTAGCAACTTTATTATTGTACCCTCTTGGGGCCCTCTTGGGGATCCTCTTGGGATCTCCTTCAGGCGTCTTGGAGGCCTCTTGGGCCGTCTTCAGGCCATCTTGGGCGTCCAGGAGCGCTCTTGGGCCTTTTCGGGCGCCTCCTGGACCGTCTTGGTGGCCTCCTGGGCCCCTTTGGGCCAGTCTGGGGGCGATTTGGGATTCCCGGGGGGGGGGAGAAACGGTGGACCCCATGACCCCCCCCCTCCCCCCTACCCCAGGAATGCTCTTGGGCCGTTTCGGGCGCCTCCTGGACCGTCTTGGCGGCCTCCTGGGCGCCTTTTGGCCCGTCTTGGGGCGGTTTGGGATTCCCGGGGGGGGGGGGGGGGGAAAGCGTGGACCCGATGACCCCCCCCCCCTCCACCCCCTACCCTGGCAGAGACCCCTGGCCCCCCCCAGCAAAGCTGAAGCTCAGGTTGTAGCTTTCTTAAACTCACACGCCTGATCGGCGGATATTCTCAGCACCATTCGTGAGGCGGTCTGCATCCACATCGGCCAGGCAGGCGTTCAGATAGGCAACGCTAGCTGACAACTTTTCTGCCCCTGCAGTTGCCCATCTCCCTCAGCGAGGGTGCAGGTGTATCGCGCTGGCGCCGGCTGCGGCTTCGGTGGCTTCCAGCGTGCGCAGCGACCAATGATGAGACACCGCGCTTGTGGCGTTCTTGCGGAGGGACGCCAGGGCGTGTCATGCGGCCGCGACGGCACGCTTCGGCGGCGCCGTGCTGCGGCGTGGCGAACTTCGGCATCCGTAGGCTGGCAGTCGGTCCCCACCAACATTTTGTTGGTTCAACTTTTTAGTTGAAGAGATCCCGTATGCAATTCCAGTCTGTGCATCTGCGTGGCCACTGTGGGTATAGATCGCGTCGTGCATGTGCCGGGCTGTGGCCTGGGCATGCCGAGGGCGTAGTGGGGCAGCGGCCCGTACTTCCATGCACGGCAGGCTGGCTTGCGTGGCCAGTCGAGCGTGCGTGCCCTCTATGAGGCCATATGTGTCTCGTTGGATTCCGCCTTGTGCAGTATTGGCGTTGCGTATGTTGGTTCTGGGGGCTGTGCAGTTAGCCCTGGGCGGTGAGTTATTTGACTTCGACCACCCCGCGCAACTTTTCTGCCTCGAGCATGGCATCCAGCCTGACGGGCAGATGCCGTCCGACAAGACAATTAGGGGCGGCGGCGGCGCTTTCAATGCGTTCTTCTCTGAGACGGGTGCTGGGGAGCACGTTCCTCGTTGTATGGTACGCGCAGGTACGTGCAGGCACGAGGTCGCCAGCTCTTCCACCCCGCAGGTACGCGCAGGTACGTGCAGGTACGTGCAGGTACGAGGTCGCAGGTACGTGGCGTATGGTCCCGCCGTGGTCGATGAGGTCCGCGCAGGTACGTGCCGCCAGCTCTTCCACCCCGAGCACTTGATCTCTGGGAAGGAGGACGCGGCCAAGAATTATGCGCGCGGCCACTACACCATCGGCAAGGAGATTGTTGATCTGGTTTTGGGTCGCATTCGGAAGCTTGCCGGCATCTGCACGGGGCTCCAGGGGTTCATGATTTTCATCACCGTCGGCGGGGGCACCGCTTCAGGGCTTGGCTGCCTGCTGCTGGAGCGCTTGTCGGTGGGCCACGGGAAGAAGACCAGGGTCTCGGTGTGGGCGTGCCCGCAGATCGCCACAGTGATCGTGGAACCTTACAACACGGTTTTGCGCGTAGACTCGTTGTTGGAGCACCCGGACATCACTATCCAGTTGACCGCGGCAGCCCCGCCATCGTGCCACCGCAGCAGCGCAGCAGCGCAGCAGGAAGGAGGTCTGAGCTTCGGGCCCGCTCCAGTTCAGTACACTGTCTGAACTGGCGCGGGTCTTCAGCACCACTCCTTAGCATTCGCCGCAGCTTTGTTCTCCGACCCTTGCGCCATCTTGGAGTTTTTTTCGTGGCCTCTCAGGGACCCCTCGTGGGCCCGCTGGGGTTCTTGGGGCCGCTCTGAGCGCGATGGCTCAGCCGAGCTCTTCCGAAGAGGCTTCGTCGAACCATCTTTGGGGGCGCATGGGCCTCTTTGGGGCCTCTTCGGGGCATCGTCGGGGCCTCGTAGGGGCCTTTGAGGGGCCTCTCAGGGTGGCCTCTGGGTGGGGCCGCTGGGGTCCCTGGAGCCGCCTTGGGGCGTGTGGTCTGATTTCCCCCCTATCGGGCCCGGCAGTTTTGACTCCACGCCGAAGAAGAATACTTCCCGGGAGCGTCATGAGTTTCAGGATGGCTTTGGCGTCGGCGAGGATGTTCTTCGGTTTGCCAAGAGAGAGTGGGACATGGTAGTCCGAGCCTTCAAGCTGTCCGAGGCAGGGTCGGAGGGGACGTCGGTAGAGGATCCGTCACTCTGGGGTTGTGGGTCTGGTGGCCTGGTATTTGACCCTGGTGGGTCGTGTGTCTGGGGGACTTCGCCTTTCAGCCCGTCGTCCCCGTCAGTGCAGTTCTACGTGCCTAGTGGCGCGTGGGGGGGGGCATTCTGGTAACAGGTGCTGGAGACTATACGGGAGGCCGTGCTGGAGGCCATGCGGTGAACCACACGGGAGAGCATACGGGTGAGGATCTGCCAGACCATTCGGCAGAGTGGATGGGAGACCATCCTGGGTATCGTGCAGGGGACCATGCCCGAGAGCATGCGGGGGAGTATACGGGAGAGCATCTGGGAGAGCACCTGTGAGACCATACGGGAGACCACACGGGAGGCCATAGGGGAAAGCGTACGGCAGAGCAGGCGGCAGAGCATACGGGAGAGCATATGGATTACCACGCTGGAGACCCTGCGCCTGCGGGAAACCACGCGGGGAGCCATACCGGTGATCACACGGGAGAGCACCCGGGGAGTGCCGTTGGGAGACCCCACGGGAGGGCCTGCGGGAGGCCACGCGAGAGATCATCCGGTTTTTTTATAGGTTTGTGGCGGATCTGGTGGCACTCGGCCCATCAAAAACCTCGACGCTCGATCCTCGATGCTCCATCCTCGGTCCTCGATCCTCGATCTTTGATCGTCGTCTTCGTCGTCGTCGTCGTCGTCGTCGTCGTCGTCGTCGTCGTCGTTGTCCTCCTCCTCCTCGTCGTGCGCCCGCCGCGCGGAGGTAGTCGAGGAGAGCAGCGGGGTGGCCACGCCTTTCGAGATGGTGGTCAAGGCGCCCGCCCTGCACGGGCGCTCAGGTCGGGTCAGGCAGGAGAGGGGAGGGAGGGAGGAGGAGGTGGAGGGTGGAGGGTGGAGGAGGACGAGGAAGGAGGAGGAGGAGGAGGAGGAGGAGGAGGGAGGAGGAGGAGGGGAAGAGGAGGGTGGTGGAATGAGAGGGAGGGAGGAGGAGGAGGAGGAGGAGGAGGAGGAGGAGGAGGAGGAGGAGGAGGAGAAGGAGGCGGAGGAGGAGGAGGAGGAGGAGACGAGGAGGTGGAGGAGGATGAGGCTGAGGCTGAGGCTGAGGTTGAGGAGGAGGGTGGTGGAATGGGGGGGGAGGGTGGAGGAGAGGAGGAGGAGGAGGAGGAAGAGGAGGAGGAGGAGGAGAGGAGGAGAGGAGGCGGAGGAGGAGGAGGAGGAGGAGGGGAGGAGGAGGCGCAGGAGGAGGAGGAGGAGGAGGAGGAGGAGGCGGAGGCGGAGGCGGAGGAGGAGGAGGAGGAGGAGGAGGAGGAGGAAGAGGAGGAGGAGGAGGAGGAGGAGGAGGAGGAGGAGGAGGAGGCGAGGAGGAGGAGGCGGAGTAGGAGGAGGCGGAGGAGGAGGAGGCGGAGGAGGACAGCGAGTCCCCCGTGTATGGGCACGCAGCGCTGGGGCCATGACGGGCCGTCCGACTCGTCGCCCGCCCCCCCCCCAGCCTCCCAGTGCGCCAGGCCACCGACCGGGCGCTCGAGGAGGAGAAGCCTGAGGTCGTGGTAGAGGCCGCGCTCCGGCAGCATCGCCGTCGGCGGGGATCTATCCATGTCCACCGCCTGGGGGATCGATCCTCGCGGACCTTCACAGGCGGTGGGTCTGGATAGATGCGGGCCCTCGGGGGCCAAACTACATCCATGTCCACCGCCCGCTGGGGCACCAGGAAGTCGGTTTCCAGGCGTTGTATGTGGATGATTTCCCGCCTCGCACATCGTCGTCGATCTCTGAGATCTGCGGCCAACCGCGGACCCCAATCTGTCTTTCTGTGGCAAGTGGTCGAGGGGTGGGCCAAGGCGGGGTTGGACGTGGGGAAGGAGCAGCACACGATGCTCGCGATGTATCGCCACGTCATGCCACTTGCCACTTGCCACTTCTTGACCACTCCGTTGTGCAGAATTCTCGCTGGGGCGATCTTTGAGCCCAGATTTCTGACAATCTGATTGCTCGACTCCCAGGTCCCTTCCCTTGATTTCGGCCTGCGAAGCCACTTGTCGGATGTCGCCATCTAGACGCGCAATCGGCACAGACCCTCCTCCTCCTCCTCCTCCTCCTCCTCCTTTTCCTCCGCCTCCTCCTCCTCCGCATCTTCCTCCTCCTCATCCTGCTGCTCCTCCTCCTCCAACATTTTTTGGAGCTCGGCGCGGATTTCTTTGGCCGGCGCTAGCCCTGGCGGTGCTGCTGGAGGCGCCCTCGGCGCGCTTCGCGCGCCAGGGAAGTGGAACTGGCGCCGATCCCAGAAGCCTGCGGGGACCTCTGACAGTTTAGATGCCGAGCTGTTTTCCTTTCTGGTCACCTCGAGAGCATTTTTTTGATCCCCTGGCGCTAGCGGGCGTAACCAGGGGTGTGTGGGAGGGGGGGAGGGGGAATCTGCGCGGACCACCGACAGTTTACATACCGAGCTGTTTTCCTTTCTGGCCACCTCGAGACCCATTTTTTTATCCCCTGGCGCTAGCGGGCCTGACTAGGGGGGGGAGAGGGGGAGGGGGCCACGCACGTCACGACTCGCGCCGGCGTCGTCCGGGGATGTCCTGGCATGGCACTTCTCAGACGGCGCCGGTGCCAGTCGTGACGTGACCAGGGAGGTTCATGAGGGGAAAGATCATATAGATACAATTTTCGTCGACTCCCAGGAAAATGTGGGAAATGGGGCGGAAAACTAAATTTTGCATGCTGGGAGTCCTGGGATTTGTGTCTATTTGTGTGTGTGTGTGCCCCTGGGCCTTTTCACAGGTGGGGGGCGGGGTTGCGGGGCCAGTCACGGGCGCTATCACGAATAGTTCATGTGGTTCCAACAGGGACCCCAGGGAAAGGGACTTTTGAGACGGGCGATGCCGATTTCTCAAGTCCGCTCGGCTTCGCCCGCAAGGTCGTCGCATGACGCTTTCACTCGCACTTTTCGAGGTCGCAAATGCAACGCCGCGGTGGTCTCAGAAGTCCCTTTCGCTGGCGTCCCTGTAGGAAATGCATCAATGATAAAAAGCGAACGGGTTCCTCCTGGTCGATCGGGCCTTCTCTTGGTCGCGCGGCGGGTCAGTCGGGCTCGCATTCGAGTCGCCCCTCTTGGCTCTCGCTCGTCGTGCTCGTCGGTTCCAATTCTGTTCCCCCCCCCTGGGATTAAGTCGGGCCTGTCCCTCTACAGGAGGAACATCCAAAAATAGCCCAAAAGATAGTATGGGGAAGATTTTCCCAAAGTATGTTTTGGCTATTTGGGGTATTTTTGGTTTTTCGTCCAGTATCCCCCCCGTAGGGAGGCACGCCCGACCCAACCCTGGGGCCTGCTTCTGCGGGAGGGAGGCCGATCGATGTTCAATGCTCTCCTGGGAGGGGGTGCAGGGCGGATGGAGGATCGACGGTTCAGGATCGACGTGCCCGTTTTTATGCAGGGCATCCTCCTCGGTCCCTCCTCGATCCTTCCTCCTCCTCCTCTTCCTCATCTTCCTCCTCCTCCTCCTCCTCCCTGGTTTTCCTCCGCCCTCCTCTCTTTTTGACGTTGCACAGACATGAATCTGGGATCCTTGCGTTCTAACCTCCCTCCTCCTCCTCCTCCTCCTCCTCCTCCTCCTCCTCCTCCTCCTCCTCTTGCCTCTTGCCTGCCTTGGGGGATGAGTCCATTGAGGTACCCCACTCCTAGGGAAATGATGTTCCAACCTATTTTAGCCTCGACCACCAGAAAGAGTTTCGAGCACGAAAAAAAGTGCCGAAACCGGAGGGTTTGCACGCGTCGGGCTCCGGGAGGCGATGCTCGTTCGACGCCGTCTCGATGCTTTTCTGGGTGCTCGAGGTCATTTTTGAGATGTGGTGCCCAAGCACGATGGGAGCATCGGGGCCTCTTAGGGGGCCTCTTCGGGTTAAGTCGGACCTGTCCCTCTACAGGGGGAGTATGCAGAAGTAGTCACATTTTTTTTTTTTCGTCCGAAATCCGCCTGTCGGGGGCTACGCCCGACCTAATCTTAGGGGGCTCAGAGGCCCCGCGGGGACTTCTGGAGACCTCAGGAGACCCAGGGCGACCCGCAGGAGGGAGGAGCGGCGATGCTGGAGATGGGCGGAAGGGGGGGCTGGAGTGGGGCAGGGAGGACGGCAGAGCAGGGTTATGATGTTCCAATTTACTTGAGCCTTGACCACCAGAAAGAATTTCGAGCACCGAAGATGTACCGAAACTCGAAGGTTTTCACGCGCCAGGCCCTGGGAGACACTCGTCCGACACTGTTTCGACACTGTTTCGACACTGTTTCGACACTGTTGCGACACTTTTCCAGGTGCTCGAAGTTATTTCTGGGATGTGGTACTCAAGTACGATGGGAACAACATAAGAGTAGGGCCCCCCTCCACTTGTGCCTCTGTCTCCCCATCCGACGATCTGATCTTTTCTGGCCGCAGAGGTTCAGAGCTCTCCCACGGTGCCATTTTTCGCCACGGGTCCGTTGTGGACGGTCCCGGGGGCACGATCGCGGGCCCCAGAGGCCGAATTCGAGGAAACACGCCCAGATTGAAGAACACATCCTCGGAGATCTGGGTCCTTCTTCCTCCCTCCTCATCCTCCTCCTCCTCCTCCTCCTCCTCCTCCTCCTCCTCCTCCAAGGCGGCCCCTGAACACGTTGTCGCGCATCGATGAGGTCGAAAGCACCGCCTCGAGCATGAACAAGGCCGTGGCACATGAGGGCAGGGGTGGACCTAAGCCGTGTTTGAGCGGTTCCGTGGGCCGTTTCCGTTTCGACCTCGTTCTGCGGCAAAGGCGGATTGGAAACACAACGAGGGAAAACGAAAACAAGACGAAAACGAAACGCACCGTTTAGGCTCAGCCCTGCACGAGGGCAGCGCTCCCACGAGCGCGCGCACGCACCACTCTCCTGGAGGCCGCGGCCTCGACGCCCCGCCGTGCTGGGCACGGGCCGGCAACCCGGAGCAGCGCGCACGGCTCTGGCGGTCGCCTCGCTCCGCTCCGCGTCGCATGCTCCGGAGGCCTGGAAATTGGCACCAGCACCAAGACAGAGGGTGGCCTCCACAGGGGAAAGATGATCCTAGATTTTCGTTGCTGGTGGTCATGGTTCGGCCTCCTTGGAAGCCAGAATATCACCACCATCACCGAGATCGGGATCTTCTTCCCTCGGTGGAGGCACACCGCCGAAATCGGTGCTGGTGTCAATCTCCAGGCCTGCGAATGCGCCTGGCCCCCGTGCGCGCCGCCGCGCGGAGCGCGGCGAGAGCGGCCCGCGGAGCGCCCGCGGGGGAGGCGGGGCCCCCCCCCGGCGGGGGCCGCGGAGCGGGCGCGCCCTGCGCGCGCCAGGGGGGGGTCGGCCAACCCCCTCGGGCCGACCTGGTTACGTTGCATCTTCGGGGGACCTCGCCTGTCCCCAAAATTGGTGTCTTTTCTCGCGCCCGACGCAGGCCCGATGTGGACTCGACGCGTGTCTGGCGCGGATTCGACGCGGATTCGATAGGGATTCGACACGGGTCCGGCGAGTCCGACCTGGATTCGGCACGGATTCGACGGGGATCGGGTCGCGACGGGACAGACAAGGTCCCTCGAGGATGCAACATAAACCTGGGTTTGGGAGCCACCCGGGGCCGATTCCCTTGCTGCGGCCTCCGCTGACCCGGGCCTGGGAGCTGCTGAATGGCCGGCGGGGCTTCGCGATGGGGCCTGAGTCGGGCCTGTGCCTCTGCAGGGGGTTTTGCGCAAAAATAGTTAAGACATAATTTGGGGTCGTTTTTCTATGTTGGGGGGCATGCTCGATCTAGAGCTACCGAGCGGCCGGCGGGACCCCGCGATGGGGCCTTGGCTGGCCCAGGCTTTGTGTGATGAGCCCCGGGCTTCGCCTCCTGGATAATTCCCAGGAGGGAAAAACACAGACACAATGAATTGTCGGTTCCCAGGAAAATGCAAGAAAATATAGGAAGCGGGTGAGAAGACGGAGCTCCAACAAAAGTTGGAAGAATATGGGGTATCTTGGGATTTGTGTGTATTTATTTGTGTGTCCTTGGGCTACTTCAAATTTCTTCTCTCGCGTGGGGGAGGGCCGCGCGTCGCCGCGAGGCGTCCGTGGCGGAGTCGGGCAGGCACCAGCGGGCCAGCGCCGGGCGCCGCGGGGGAGTGATTCTGATGATGGTGGTGGTGATGATGATGGTCATGATGATGATGATGATGGTGATGATGATGATGATGATGATGATGATGATGATGATGATGATGGTGATGATGATGGTGACGATGATGATGATGATGATGATGATGATGATGATGATGATGGTGGTGGTGGTGGTGGTAAAGATGATGATGATGATGATGATGATGATGGTGGTGCTGCTGATGATGATGGTTGTGGTGGTGATGGTGGTGGTAACGATGCTAATGATGAAGGTGGTCATGGTGGTGGTGATGATGATTATGATGGTAATGGTGATGCTGATGATGCTGATGTTGATAATGGTGATGATTGTGGTGGTGGTGATGTTGGTCATGGTGGTGGTGATGTTGATGATGATGGTGGTGGTGATGGTGATTATGGTGATGATGGTGGTAAT